ATCCCTCGGTAACGTCCACTTCCGTCCTCTCTCTTGACTGATGATGTCGATTGAGTCGTCCTGCGAGATGAGAGGTAGTAGATTTTTTTTTAAACGATAGATCGACACGTTCCCTCGATAATTTTAGAGACGTAAGCCACCTTAAATGAGCGCTTGACCTCAACCCGGGACGTCAAAGCGGGCAGGAATGTCTCTTTAAGTCTGCAAATGAGGGAAAATGCTAGACTTAGAAATAAAATAATGTGATAATGTGAAGAGTCGTCTGCAAAGAATGTACAGTGGGATGCTAGTCAGGTAAGTGTGGAGGAAAGTGTGCAAAATATCGTTTAAAAATCAAGGTAGAGACAAAGTCCGTACTAGATGGAATATTGAGGTCGAAAGTCTCTGTCGTATGCCAAAATTGTCAACTTTCAAAGCTGTGATGTAACAATAATGAGGAATGATAGGGAGCTAGCGTGGGGATCACATCCTGTCTAGACTACTTGGAATTGACCGGGATTAAGATAATTTTGTAACGTCAAAGTTATCGTAATCCCGAAATGTGGTACAAAAAGCCAAGAATGACTCAAAGTGTCAATATGGGTCAGGGTCACGGTCTCCTCTAGTAACGTTGGTTGTAGACCAAAGTGTTGACCGAAGTAGTCTGAATCCCATGATTCTGACTACTTTGGTATTACGGTATGAATAGACAGGTAGGCTAGTTCCTAGTAGATTAAGCAGGGACTTATCCCCAAGTTATCCCCAAGTTGTTTCCCAACCAGTCCTCACATTTGTTTCACCTTGACTAGATAGCTTTCCAACAGGGTCTTGTCTGTTCATCATTCCTATTTCGTACATAGAAAGTGCTTTTATGCACTCTAGGTAATCTTGGAAAGTGCAAAACGAGAATGAGCTTTACATTGTTTTGGAAAGTGATATTAACCCTGTCCTCAGGACATGCTATCGCGTCATATTTCCATCCGTTCCAATTATTCTTTCTGAAAGGAGAAAACAAAACTATTTCAAGCACGTGATCACATGGTAACATGAAACCCTTCCTGAAACCAACCGGAACGGATAAAGTGGGTCAAGAAATGCGACTATAAGCCTTATCATAACCTATTCCTGTAACCTAAGTAAAGAATGGCCAGCGTCCTCTCCCCTCCTTTCCTCAGGCTTTTTATTTTCCCCCTCTGGTGGAAACGGAAGCCCGACTCCCCGTTTACGAGTGAGGATGAAAGCCCGAGTCCGGGAGGGAGGAGGTCCGCCGGGCTGCTTCCATCCCGCGAGGACGGAAGGACCCCGCCGGACTGCTTCCATCCCGCGAGAACGGAAGAACCCGCACAGCAGAGGATGTTGGTGCTCGAGGTGCTCCCGTCGAAGCCGAACAGCTCCCCGCAGAATCGGTCCGCGCATTGCGTCGTGGCGTCCGCGTCGTCCGCGCACGGGATGGTCACCCAGTCGTTGTGGCACTTCCCGGGGCCGTCGCCCGATGTCGCCCGCAGCAGGGCCCCCGCCGGCGACGACACCGTGAACGTCATCGACGCCGTTCCCCTGCAGAGCAACGAGAGCCAACACATAAATTCTCAAACTTGAAATTTCATGAGTTAAGCGCGGATAATAATTGCAAAATGAACACCGACCATTAAGGAAAAGTCCACACCGTCAAAATCAGTCGCACGCGCCTGATACCTGGCAAAAGAATTTATCGAAAAAATTAATGCATGATGTAGCAGACATGCTACATACCAAATAAACGATTTTATAATGCTCCTGAGGGAAATCCTAGCAACCTTGGCACCTAGCAACTACGCGGTCGCTAGGTGCCTTACACTCCTGGTGGCTAGCAATTTAAAACCAATCTGGCTTCGTCGTACGGCAGATTGACGTTTTTGATTTAATTTTCTTAAACGTTAATCCAGAGTCCAGGCTCATCCGCATTTTTGCATTTTGTGTTGAGGTATGTACGAATGCTGACGGACCGTGAGACGCGGGTGAGAAAGCTGAAAGTGCTGTTTGTAGCAAATGTAGCAAATGAGCAATAATAGCGTTTTTGGGCCTACTGCTTAAAATTTTTTTTTTCCACGCGACCCGTGTTCAAGGACGTGAGTGAAACCAACCAGATTTTTTTCACCGAAAAATATTTAAAAAAAATCATGCACCAAAGGGCAAAGGCAATGGCAAAAGGGAATTTTTCAGACAGGAAAGATTTTCCTGATTTTCCTTTCCATTTTCCTGGAAAATGGAAAATCTGGATAAAATCTCGCATCTCTCAATTAATGTCGACGAACTTACGAGTCGAGATGCATTTCCAGCAACGGCCGACAGAGAAACTCGGTTGCTTAAAGCATCAAGTAACGCCTAAGCAACTTAAGCCTGTAACGACCATCTCTTCATTCCCTAATCTCTTTCCACCCGAAAGAGAAAATAATTCGGTCTGAAGGCTGAAACCTCATTTAGGCGAGATAACTGGATCCCAAACAGTTCTTTCCCCCCTCCTCCCCCTAAGGGCTCCACGGACTACTCAAAGGACCGTTAACTAAAGGCTCCAGCATCTGAACCTTCATCTCCGAAAGCCACCACGCCAATCCCCGCGAAAACCACCAGCCCGAAAAACGCACCATCGAAGAGCGAAGCGCCCGCCCGCCCCGACCTCGATCGACTGACTCCCGCCGAATCCGTCGGACATCCATCGGGCATCGGAATTAGAGGCGTGCCCGGTCGCGAAATTCGGACGAATCATCGAGAAAAGTCCGGAGGCGGATGCCCGACATCCAGTCGCTTCGAAGATCTCTACCCCCTCGCGAGAGACATCTGGCGCCGAGACGGAACACCTCCCTGCCCATGCTCAACAGCGACGCATCGAGCTGCTCTCGGGCCTAGTGACCGTTCGCAAATTACGTGACAAAGTATGACTTTCCCCACCCCGTCATTTTTTTCAATAATGAGATAAATAAACAAGTATTTGAAAAAGAAACTCGTTTATTAAACACTCATAAGTGACACTCTGGATCGACATTGAGAGATGATTAAAAGTTTTTCAAAAATAAAAGTTTTTTTTGCTTTCATTCGGTTTCTTCTTCAAGAAAATCCTTTATAAATCGCTTGCTCTGGAAGCCTCTGTGGCTGCCACACGCCGCTACAGCATTGCCATGCAGACTGAATAAGGAATCGTTCCGAACAGGCCTCTATCAGTCCTGTGTCCCGATTCCCCATTCCCACCCGATTTCGTTGTTGCTCTCTGCTGGAAGAGGCACTGTTTCCCTGTGATACATATTGTCTAGACCAGCGGTTCCCAAACCATGGGTCATGACCCACTGGTGGGTCGCGATAGTCATCAAGGTGGGTCGCGATAGTCATCAAGGTGGGTCGCGATAGTCATCAAGGTGGGTCGCGTACATTTTCCCAGTATAAAAAAAAAATCACTATATCCGCATCCGCTCAAGATAATACATGCCCTGCCTAAAAGGATGATCATATTTCCTTGACGTCATAATTACTTTGAAAATACCTTCTTCTGGATTCTGGTGGGTCGGGAAATTTTCTTCACACAATTTTAATTTTATTCGCAATTTTAAGAAGTCTGGGGATCTTCCAATGGAATAATTAAATTCGTTGAAGGTTTAAATCTTCGTCACTTTCCCAGTTGGACGCTAGTAATTTCCTTGATGGCTAGTTCTGATTATGTCAGAATTCGATTTACAATTATTGAATGCAAAAATCCTAAACTTATGTCAAGTCAGGGGAGAGAGGGAGTCTCCAGTCCTCCCCTGGAATTATTTCATTCTCCCCCCAAGCAGAATTGCTGCCCCAAGGGTGGGGGGGGGGAGGAGGGGGTGGGGGGGGGGGGGGGGGGGGGGAGTAGAAAAATGATAGACCTGTAGATCGAGTGGCCCTTCATCCAAATATTAACAAATTTCAGTTGTCTCCCCACACCCCGTGTACGGTGAAATCTTGGCTGATGTTATATTATTTCAGAATGCGATACTGTCGAAATGGCAGCTGAGTTGAACTCTGTCGATTTCCTTTTCACTACGTTACCCACTCGAAGCGAAAAGACTTGGAAGAGAGAGACTCCAAAAATGCCAATCGTGCAAAAATATGGCAAAGTCGATAGAAGCTTTTCCAACGATCGATTTCTCCGGGAGTTGACTGCCTCTGGGATAAAGCAAAGATGATTCTGTTGGCCCCGTCGGCATTTTTTGGGAACACTGAACACTTTTGGGAACCGCAGGGTTCGGTCGTGGTTACACCGAACCGAAGAACCCGAGCCAAGCTTTGAAACTTCAAAAATTCCATCCAGACTCTGCCGCACAATTAAGTCCCTTCCGCCCAAAGACTCAACGCGGAGAAACACGATCAGAAAGTCTCCCAAAAATTTCCAACGGCACCTCAAAAAACAATCCAGAACGACCCGATTACTTTCCATCGGAAATGCGACATCCGAGGCCATCCAGGAGGAAATGAAAGGAACTCGAGTCTGATGGAGCGACCGACATTCCCACTAGAGCCCAGTTATCCATTATCATTCGCCATGTTGACTGGACAGGAAATGTACAAGAACGTTTCCATGGCTTCTTTTTTATGTTTCTCAATCACGTGATGCAGAAAACCATCACCTCATTGCTTGCAAATGAGCTGAAGAAATATGGCGATCCAGTCTGCCAAAACTATGGCCAGTCTGCCAATGGAAGCTAGTCTAGTAATGGCTGGAAATCTCTCTTTGGTGTCGCCCCAGGGAACCAACGGCATGCAAGTGAAGCATTTCATTTCCTTTTCGCTTTCCGTTCATTCTTTCCCCGTTCTCCAAGGCGGATGAATCTCCTGGCCAAGATCCAACCAGATGCCAAGAAGATGGCATCACCTTCTGAAACCAGGTTTGACTTTCATTTCCCAACAATTTTGGAGAATCGTGAGACACTGTCTGTTGCAGGGCGCCGTGGCTTGAGAATTTCAGCAATTTGGGGAGCAATTCTTGAGCGATTTGGAGGATCTTGAGTTTGTCTTTTCCATTTTGCTCGCCTACTGCGAAATATTTGGATGATCCTTCGTTCAATTTTGCAATCAAAGACCATCGACATCGTGCGAAGAAAGCGAAGAAGAAGAAGATGGACAGACTTCGAAGCTGGCCTTTCCGGTCTGAGGATGAAGAAGCAGGTAAAAATAATCCTTCAGGTGAAATATCGGCATCTGCACGACGAAATTTCGGGCGGCGTGATTACGCAGATGAATTCGCCGACGTGGGAAAGATCTAGTTCTTTTCGCTTCTCGATCGAGGGCGATTCCCTGAATATTCCAAGAATATTCCCTGCGGACAATTTTCAGTTCTTGGATGCATATTTGTTCATTTGACAAGCGCAAGTTGACAAACGAGTCGAAAACGCTCTTAGAAAGGAAGATTTACCAAAGGATTCGGCGTCCCTTCTGAGATTCCTTCACGATTAAGGTCTGGATGAACCCGTCGGATCAACCAACAAAGCTTCTAAGGCTCCAGATGACTCTGCCCGTGTCAACTGTCTCCACGGAGCTGATCGTTCCCGTGCTTGAAGCGGATCCAGGAATTTTTCGTAGGGGGGGGGGGGGACTCTTAGAGGAGATTGGTGAGCGAAGGGAGTGTTGAGCCAGGTATAGAGAGGGGCGAATATGCCTGTTACTATCAAAGGAAGGCGTTCCCCCTGGTCAAACCAACCCCCCCCCCTGCCTACCCAGTTTTTTTTACCCATGAGCCGCCACTGAATATAAGTATGGAGCTTGCATTTGCCCAACTCGATGACACTGCCACCATTTTGTGTCCTGCCCTCTCTTCCAGCAGATTCGCGAAGGGTCTCGAACAGCTCCCGTCCGACGGGATCTGTACGTACCCGTAAAAAAAGCGAAATTGTCGCAGCGCGAGCTCTCAGATCGTGCACAGCCGCATTCGATTCGGCTTGGGAGCTCTGCGACCGGCGTGGAGGGTGCTCCGCAGCTCTTCGACATCGGCCTTAATTCGTATCTAATAGCGATTTTCAGGCAGCCAATCGGCACCGCTCGCACATCATCTGTCACGGAATATCCGAGTGGGGTTTGGCGCCTCCGCGCTGCTGCTCTGTCCCTCCGCCGTCTTCAGCCGAAATACCCCACTGCAAACGACTAAGATAGGCAGAAAGAGCTCGCTCAGGAAAAGACCTGGCCTCCTTATTTTTTTTTTTGGAAAGGAAGGTTCGAGACAGAAATTATTCCTGCGAGCCTGCTGAGCCGCTGCGCCGATCACAGGAACGTGAGAACAAGCCCCCCCCCCCATCTCCAATTCGTAACGCAAAACAGACGGAACAGAAACGTATTTCTTATCCACGCCACTTCACCAGGCAATCCACCCCACACGAGGCGACACCTCACACCCCAATGGAATCGTCCAATAGAAATGGATTTCCTCCTCGCCGCCCATGTGCCCCACGTGCGGCCGATGGCCATGCAATGCGTACGAGTGCGTCTTGCCGCTTTCAACTCTCTAATTCGTTCCCTGCGAGTTCGCGGGTCGATCGGATCCCTGCACGAGAAACTTAATTTCCCGTGGAAACTCCCTTTGTGCTCGGATTTTGCTTAAACCAGGCCTAGCCTCTCTTATCGTGCTTCCGGCGATCGTGTGGCCTCGGCCTAGGATTCTGGTTTGAGAAAGGACCATACTTGAGGGGAAAACATTGACAGTCCACAATCCAGCAAGAAAGCAAGTCAAGCAAAGCAGCGCTTGTTTGTGCGAACTAACAAACTTCACTTTTGGAATACTTTTAAAAGTAACTCTTTCCATGTAGCATGGTATCCAATGGTGAAGAACTCTTGGTTAGCAATAAGTAGGCTAAGGCCTAGCTAAAAGAGTCCAAATATTTGCAGTCTTACTAGATATCCTACATTGCAGTTGGCTTAGGTCTAGCCTGCCAGAATAAAAATACTACTAACCTAAATAAATATGTTACGGCACAAATTATTTGTTCAATCCAACCCTTAAACCTACCCTGCTTAAGAGGCTTATGGTACTCTGATGATGGAAAAAGAATGTGACAAAATCTCCAGGCATTTGATGTGTCTGAATAATAGCCTATAAACTGCTTGCAGACATATCTTAGACCCTTCTTCAGCAATTCCCAATTGTACTACTAATTTCTTCTCACTCCATGCTTTAATAAGCAAAAGTCTGATTGAAAAGTGGAAAATGGTGAGCTTGTATTGCACAAGAATGTTATTTTATGGTGGTAAAGACCCAATATCAAACATCTCAGCTGGTTTTTGTTTTTCAAGTTGAGTCAGAATTTCTGCTCATATATTGGTCCATGACACTGGTGTAATTCTTGGCCCACTAGGCCTAGGTCTAAGTCTAGTCTTGGTGCACAACTTTGATGGAAGTGCTGGAGAGGGGTTTTGAAATTGCTATGGCTCAAAGCCCATCACTTCATTATCATAACAGGTTGGTATGTAAAACAGAGACATGTCTGTGGACAAGCCCTGTACAGATACCACTCTGGAGAGGTATAAACTGGTGGAGAGGATGATGAAGTTCTCATCCCTGGTGAGAGATATGTATCCTTGCCCCAAGGAAGTCAGGAATTTCAATGGGGTTGATGATAATGAAGAGGATGATCTGGTTGAGGTGAGTTTCAGATATAAATGTAAAACTTGGAAACAATGTAGACTGAACCATTTCCACAGATGAACCATGAATCCATTTATGAGAGACTTTTTTGTGATGCCTTTCAGGTGAAAAGATATCTGGATGAGATTGCAGCCAGTAGGGAGGCTGACCAAGGAGTTACTTCTGGATCCTTGACCAAAAATGCATTCAAACCCTTTCCATCAACATCAAAGATGGAACCACCAAATCTTAGTTCTTCTGGATCAGTGCACGAGGCCTCAAGTGATTTACTCCAGGCTCAAGAAGCAGACGCCTCACAGACGCAGACAGCAGAGGATCCTGCGGAAAATACTCAACGGCCTCCGGCAAAAAGGCATTTCTCCACAAAACATACATCGTGGGATCCAGAATTGCCAGATGCAAAGAAACCACGCCCTGGACCTGAGAAGGATAACAACAAATCTCTCTACTTTCGCCGTGCACTTCTTGCTCCTCGTGCCGATGATCCCAGTTTGCCTGTGGGTATTGAGCTTCAGCACCCGCATAATGGGTGCCATGTGTTGTCAGTTTTGGACTGTGAAGAGCAAAAGACATATGTGTCGCTCATGGAGAAGTATCAGTATGTCACTCGAGATGAGGTCTTGAAAATGAAAGGCAAAGACCGTGAGGGCTGGAAAAGCTTCTTTGTGAGTTTGATCTCATTCCCTTTGGTTGTGAACATTTATGTTTCTGTGTGTTCAGAGATGTATTTTGCATCCCTCTCCTTCCTTTCCAGCCAATACATCAGAAAGTCCTTCTTGAGCAGGAAAAGTGTATGGAAGAATTGACCAGGTTCGCAAAGGAGCACAGGTTGAACAAAGACTTTATTCCACAGGGGATGAAAGAGTATGTTGCTGATTGCCTTCAGGTAAGAACACTGTCTCATACTTTGTAATTACTTAAAATAAACAATCAGGTAAAATTGAGCTGTTGTAAAGGTCCATGAAGTCCTTCATTTTTAGTTTTCTGCATTTTTTCTTTCCTGTTATTCCATTCCAATCAGTTTGAGGTACCCTCTAAATCTTTAACTTTTTCTCATGAAGCCTTGACTCTCCAGTACTCCAGGAAACAGGATATGGTGAACAACTTCAGACTAGTAGCATTCTTTGGAAGTGCTTTGGAATTTTTGTGGAGTCTTATACAGAGTCCAACTTTCATTAAATAGAGGCAAAAAATATATATTGAAAACATCCACGAGCTCAGCAGAACTTATTGATCTGAAAATGAATTTTTTTCTGAAATGAAATGTTCTTTTTAAGAGACTTTTTCTGGAATGCCTTTTAGGTTAATTTGATCACAGTGTTTATGGGTGTGACCAAACCTATTTTTGTTGCCAGAATTAATTTTTTTTTGCTTGGTATGTTTGAAAATTCGACCTGGGAAAATTCTCCACCCTGTGACACATTCTTCATGACTTATACACATCTACTCTCTGTGAACAAAGAAGAAAAAAGCATAGAAATGTATATGCTTTATAAAGTCAAAATGGGCAGATTGAGGCAAGATGTTTTTGAAGGTATGAATTGGTGATGTATTCTGCTGTCTAAATTTGCAAATTCTTATTTTGATTATTTTAATGATATAGTACCTTGTTTAAATCAGTAAATCAGTATTATTGGTTTCAAGGTGAAATCATGGCAGCCTATGATACATTTCTTTTCCTCTGTGTTATGATCAAATGGAAGGAAATTCTTTTTGCCAATTGTTGGGTTAAGAGAACTCAGTGCTTTGAAATGAAATTTGAGATGCCCAAGTTCAATTATTTTTTATTTGTTTATTGGACTGCAGAAAAAGAACAACGCTGAAGTGGATCTGTTGAAGTTCATTAAAAATGGAAAAATTCATGAAAGGTCTTTGAGGTTTTGTCAGCTGAGATGATCATGAGAAGTTTGAGACTGTTCACAATTAGTAGTGCCAGAGGGAACACTGTTTTTGAGTATTACTGAAGATGTTTTAAAAGAAAGTATTATTAATGATGCTTGTTCTTCATACCGCTTGAATTATATGTTCAGAAGTAACTGCTTGAAAAGTTTACCATATCCACCACACTGGTGCATATTGTGTTATTCAGTTATCAGATTATGTAGATATCATAATTCATATATTCATTCAGTTTTAGCAAGCTGCTAAGAATATTAATGCTGAAATATGATAGATACCTCTTATGAGAATTATACATGGTGCCTCTGTTGGCAGGCACGGTTGCATCGGTGCCTCATCTATCCTCGATTCTACACGCTCCAAGACACGATCCATCTGATGCAGCTGGGACCCTACTCCTTCCAAGTCTGCCCTTACTTCACTCTTCAGTCCACCTTAGCTGAACTGGTATTGATGTACTAGCATTCTGTAGGTATTTTTAAGTATTACTTTAAATCATAAGTTCCTAAATAGGTTTCTGAATCTCATAGGGGAGAGCACCCAAGTTAATGGTGCCCAAAGAGCAAAGGAATGTGTGCCTCCCGAAGCCACCAACAGTGTCTCGACGTTTCCCTCCTGTCTGTGATTCAGCTAATCCACATCAACTTCCATACCTATCCAAGGTGCCAGGTAAGTAAAAAAAAATTTTTTTTAAGCCTCCATTACATATCCTTGAGCATTAGGCAGCTACTTGTCAGATAGAGATGCTGAACCCCAATGTACAACTGGTAGGGGAGGCACAGGAAGTATTCCAAGAAAAAAGACCAGGATGCAAATGTTGCTAAAATAAAAAGTGGAAGGTGTCCCACTTTGAATATTTCTAACCAAAACTGCAATTTGTAATTGTCAGCCATTATATGCAAATATTGAATGATTTTTTTTAGCATTTTGACTGATTATTTTTATTAAATGCTTTTTAGGTGGTTTTAGACAAAAGCATTGACAGAAAATTTCTTGGCAAATGTCATCTTCACTCTTCTTTCAGAGTTCATCCTTGTATTGTCTTCACATCTGTCATTTTTATTGATTAATTTATTCATTGTCATTAAATGAATGCATCTTGAATGTCATCCTCATGATCCTAACTAATCAAATAATAGTGCAAAACCTGCAAATCCTCCCCTTGTGATTGATCATCTTTTAGAGATGAAGGTTCATTGAAGGTAAATGCAATGAAAAATATGAAAAAGTATGCTCTATCCCAAAATAGTTTGCAAATTTTTTTTATTTGTGGCCACTCACTTTTTTTTTCAGACTGGCTGTGTGCTTTTGAGGACTGACAAATATATATCAAATAAATGTATGCATTTATAACAACAGCCATTCACTGGTTCTAGAAATATAGGTTATTTAGAGCAGCAGTTTCCAGACTTCTTTCCATTGACCCACTTGCTGAGGGACAGAAAATTTTGCAACCCACCAGAATCCAGAATGAGGTATTTTCAAAGTTATTGTGGATTGAAGAAAACTGTTTGACCTTTTCTGCAGGGGATGTTTTATCCTGAGCAGATGCGGACATAGTGATTTTCCATTCTGGGAAAATGTACGCAACCCACCTTGATGCCTCTCTCGACCCACCAGTGGGTTGCAACTCATAGTTTGGGAACCACTGATTTAGAGCATGACAGCAGTAAGAGAGCGTGACCAGAGTTGTACAAGCGCCTGCTTTAAAAGTCAGAAAATACGTTTATGACCCAGAAAATAAGCGCATTGTTTTTTGCTTGTTTCACATTCAGAAAAGGTTTACAGCTGTCAATCTGTAAACAGGTACATGACATTGATCAAATATAGGACACTGCACAGTTTGTTCTTGCTTGCGATGGGAATGGCGAGTTCTCTCTTCAGTTGGGTATACTTGGACTAATTGAGACTGGCAGCACTGGTGCAACTTTAAGAATAATCTGCTGCACTTACAAAATGAGTCAATGAATTTTGATCAACTCTACATGTATGTGCTCATTAGATTTATTAGTCAGCCCTCAAATGTGAACAACCTTAGTATGAACCAATTATGAGTAGCTACAGATTGGAAAATGTTCCAAAATGTTTTGGGACTGAGTGTATATGATGCTTGTCCTGAGTGACTTTCATGCTCTTATCTAGATAGTAGTATTAGTATTTCATATTTGCATTTGTTTAGATTTGGAGCAAATCTTAGTTTTTGTCCCCTTGTGCTTGCTTGGCCACTGCCACAAAGATTGGCCAGCCTGAATGCAGCCAATTGCATCAGCTTCCTCATGAAAGGTTGCATCAAAGGGGAGGCTACTGGCAAAGTGGCATGTTTTCATTGCTGTTTTGGAATCTTTGTCTTTTTGCAAAAAACTTGAGAATGACATGTTTAGGACCTCCATTAATTCTGTTCTGACTGTCATACAAGCTATACATGCTCAGTATTGATTTGTTGATCAAGTTCCCTTCTAAGATTGAGTAAAATAAGAAAGAACAAAACCAAGGTTTTACCTTTTTTTTTATTTAACTCATAATGTGGTGATCTAATCATTTTCACTGCACCGTGTACTTCATGCATGTAGAAATACATTTATTCATTTTTCTTGGCAGTCTCACAGGATGAGAACATCCAGAAGTTGCTCCCAGAGGCACAACCAGATTTTGTGATGTCGAGGAGTGTATTCAAGGCACTGGTGCTGATGAGTGGGGCATCCTGCATCCGTCAGATCCCCATCACCATCTCAGAAGTGGATCTCAATGGTCTGTTTAGTCCCTTTGTCACTGTGCTCAATATGTTTTGATTGATGTGGCTGATTTTGTCAAGTGTCCTGGAACAGGAAAGAAGCACAAGGTTGTGTATCTTGACCGGCCCCTGCCCAAGATCTTTACTTCCAACTATGAGCAAAAAGAGATCTATAGCAAACTTGCCCTGCGAACTCTCACCACACAGCCTCTTCCCTCAAAAAAAAATTTCAGACCGTATGCACCAACTCACTTGAACTCAAATTTTGATTTCTATCAGAGAACATAAGCTGGGAATGTTTTATTGTCATGGAAGGGCATTTCTGGACCAGAATTCAAGCAGAAAGGACATAGATAGTATTCGACAGTTACCAGATTCAACAGATGACACATTTGATACGGGTGCCCATGATGCTGAAGAACTGGAGACTTTTGGGGTTGCGTATCAGCCGATGGCAAGACACACGGGTAGGAACCCGAAGGAAGAGAATTTAAAAGAAGATGGAAAAGGTGAAGAGAGAGAGGAACAGAAGACCAAGTATCAAGAGGGTCAAGTCCCTGAGAGTCGAAACCTCAAGCTTCCTCTTCTGGACCACGTGACGTACAACACGTGGGAACTACGTCTCAATCAGGTCCCCTTTCGAATCCTCATCAGGTCCTTCGTACATGCTGCTCGGGTGAGAGAGATTCCTTGCTTCGTTTCAAAATCCACCTGTGCTGAACGAAATATCAAAACGTTGGTGTTGACACTTCAGCCAAATCAAGGAATGGGGGGGACGCTGATCCCATATCACATGTTTGTGAAGCCTGAATACCAGTCACATTATGGGGTAGAGGTGCTGTCATGGGAGGAGGCTGCCAGGGAATGGGCTGCCTGTGCCATCACACCCAATTCACGTGTCCTTCGAGGTCTGTCTGGTTTCATTATGTTCTCCTTGAACTTGCTTAACTGTAAATACTGGTGCATTTGAGTGCAAGTATGACATGTATGTTCCTGAAAGTGACTTTCAAATGATCAACAGGGCCAACACTAACCATTCAATGTCTTGCTTTTCTTATTGTTATTTAGCATGTTGGCAACATTGGAAGTGAAGTACTGTTCCGTTTCCCTATAGTTCGGATGAACTCATATAACAACAAGGTGATCATGGTGGAAGACCTTTCACCTGATATGGTCCAGGTTTCATCTCAGAAGGTGGGCTTCAAGCCCAATGAAGCCCTGGCCAACATACATCTTGTTCTGAGTCGCCTCAAGAATCAACTCCCCGGCCATTACCTGTTGGATATCAAACGGGGAGAACGAAACGTTAATCTCAAGGTTGCTGTCGATGCAAGCAAGACAGGCATAGAAAACTTGTATGTTTCTCCTTCCTCAAGTGTAAAAGAATTGCCTATCAAGAGTCAAGATTATGATAAGTCTGAGGGATATTTTCCAGTGTTTCTATTTGCTATGAGCTTTATTTTTCCATGGAGAAAGCTGGAACATGTAGGAATGTGAGCACCATGGTGAAGTAACATTATTCTTTCCTTCTTTTGCTATAATTAAATTAGGAAGTAAGAAATTGGTGAGCAACATTGCTTTCATTTACATATAGTCTGCTTTCAGTTTCTTCTGAACACAGTCCACAAGACTCAGGCATTCTTATATTTGATTCTCCTTTTTTTCAATGCCAAAATTAGATGGATATCTCTGATGCACTGTCGAGTGTGGCTATATTACATTTGTTAAACTTTTTGGAGGATTTAGAATAAATGATTAAACTTGAGATTAAACTTAGTTTTCATTAATATTTTGATGCAGCTGTGAAACACATCTTCAAGGATCTTTGTAGCATTTACAATATCTGCTTATGAAGAAATGAGAAAAAGTGGATAACCAGTGTATTTTTCTTTCAGGAATCGCTATGACTTGCACACCGCCTACAGCAAGGTGCCCCAGCAGGGCCCAAAGAGAGAAGAGGAATACCTCCCCATCGACAGATCCCTGCTGCCTCCCTTCAACCGCGTCTACGGCCGCATCCCGTGCACCTTCTGGCCTCTCAAGCCGGGTAAGTTTCCGAGAATCTTTCCGACTCTCTTCCGAGCTGTGAACATGTGTGTTTGCTCCTGCAGGCATGAATAGGAAAGGAGGGAAGCCCATGACAGGGAAGAAAAAGAAGAAGAACAAGGGGCAGAACAAGAAAAAGGCTCAAAAGAATGCTCCTTAATCATGAGCTCTTGGATACTTCTGTCTACACAAGAATGATTATTCTGGTCTTCCACTTTGGTGAGAATGAAGGACTTTTCTCACTGCTATCATGTTGTTTATTTCTTCCTGTTGCTCAAGCAGTAATGCACAGTTACTAAGACACAAAATGTATTATTCAATCCAATCCCTTTACGGAACCTTCTATCACACACAGAAAAATACGGGATGTCTGGAAATGAAAGGTGAAGAATTAATGGAATGATCTGTTCTGTACAAGGGATATCTAAATATGATAAAGTGTGATTCAGTTACTCATATTTATTTTAATGTTTCGGACCGGTAAGAAAATATGATGGCATCTGATGAGTAAAGTTAGTTGAGGGTTGAGGAGTGTTGTTTGATCACGCACAACGGCAAATGCAACAAACCCGCACTGCACAGAAACCTAATTCTTCATGGGGTTGAAAAGAAGGTGGTCGTTTGTTGCATGATTAAATTTGTGTTTGAGTCTCGCGATGGAATCGGGCATTTCGCCGAACTTGTGTGTTTCAAGAAGTCGTAGGCTCATTACGGTAAAATCGTACAGGGTGTTTAAGAAAAACAGAGCCTTTTTTTATAACTCAAAAGGACGAACGCTGAGGTTTTGAATTTCGTGCCAGTATTTGGAGGACATCTAGGCGTTTTATGCCGTGCTATGACCGATGTCAACCGATATGGCGGTAATCGGTGCAGGAACAAGAGTTCTACGTGAAGCATTTCCATCGGAGTCAGGGCAGTGTAATACAAGTTCAACGTGATTTCCGCGTCGAATTCAACTTCAGATGGATTCCATAAAAAAAAACTAATCAAGAAGTTTGAGGAAACAGGAAGTGTGACTATAAAAAGTGCAAGCGCGAGAACATTGAACGCGTGCTTGCTGCCGTTCAGCGGAACCCCGATAACGCAATGTGTCCTTGACTCCATGTGCCCTTGACTCCTTGTGCCCTTGACTCCTTGTGCCCTTGACTCCTTGTGCCCTTGACTCCTTGTGCCCTTGACTCCTTGTGCCCTTGACTCCTTGTGCCCTTGACTCCTTGTGCCCTTGACTCCTTGTGCCCTTGACTCAATGTGTCCTGGACATACCGGATGCTTCACGGAGAAATGCAACATTACCCTGCAAGGTCCAGCTTCGCAGACTGCTCTAACAGCTTGACAAAGGTCGATGGGCTGAATTTGTTTAGCTTGTAATTAATTTCTGGAAGACCACCATGAAGCCTAGGATCAAACTCGGACGCCCACTTCCGCCTTGATGTCAAACCCACCGCATCCACCCACCGGGTGGATATGGTGGGTTCGTCGAACCGGATTCCAGAAGATGACGTCTGCAGACCCGATCCGCCACCCGACCGAGGAAACCGAAATCGAGGGATTAACCGGACGCGGTGGACGTAAGAAGCATCTGCAGTAAAGGCAAGAAAAATGGCTTCATTTCCTCTAAATGCTGGCACGAAAATCAAAATCTCTGCGTTTAGAAGTTATTTAAAAAATAACTGGTCAGTGTTTTTTAAAGTACCCCGTATTTTCAATGAGAAGGGTGCATTCACCCTGGTCGGACCCCCGAATTTTTGGCATAGGTCATCATGTAGAACATCCTAGATATGGCGTCTAAGATTTGCATTTTGTGGCGGAGGTGTGTCTTTCGTGTGTCCCTTTGGCAAAAAAAAATTTTTTTTCCTCATTTGTCGTTCGGTGAGGCAGGACTGTGCCAAATGATGGCATCGGGCATTCTGCCACGCTTCGGAGATGCAGTGCCATGAATCTCTCATAAGCCAGAGCGAAAAAGTCAACACTGCAGAAAACTTGATAATTTGTTGGCACACATGGCATTTACCGTGTTAAATGAATTGCCAGCTAGACCTAACCTTCAGAGCTCGAACTCTCCATAACGACTTCGAGTCGTCAAGCGATCATCGGAAATCAACGCACTCGAGCAAGTACTTGTCAGTACCTACCTAGTGCACTCTTGTGGGCGTGATCGCGCGCTGCTTCTGCGATAGAGCCCTGCACGGGCTGCGGCCCCATCGGCCCGACCCGACCCGCGGGCCGTCCAGGGCCGAAATTCCCAAGACCCCTCTCCGGATCGGGCCGAATTTTTAAGTTGCACTTTTTTATTTTATAGCTCCTCTGGTCTCAGACCATGGAAACTCCGTGTCATGACTGGAATCTTATTCATGCATGCAATCCGAATGAAGGGAATGAGCTTTTCCCTTCATTGCAGGGAAAAGTTCTTCTGCTTCCCGCCAACCATGGTTTACCTTCCCAGTTCAGCAGCTGTGTGAAATGACCCTGCCGGGGGGAGGGGGTGGGGGTGGTAAGGGGAGGTGGAAGGTGGGAGGGGAAGGAGGGAAGGGAAAAAATCAACTTTAAGCAACAACTAGACATGAAAATGCCTATGTGTAGGTCCCTAGCAGGATTTAATGGGGATTGCAGAAGCTCTTGGCATTTATTAAAATTGATGAAATGTCATTTGAAATGGTCTTCAAAGGTTTTTCTGCATTCCTCCATCGATATTTTCATTTCTGTACTGTTGATTTTATTGATTTCATACTTGAAGCCTCCCCATCTGTCTGTTCAATCTGTGAACGGAGACGAAGAGGAACTCAATTGAACCTTGAGTCCCTCAATTGAACCTTGAGTCCCTCAATTGAACCCTTGAGCAATTGAACCCTTGAGGCAATTGAACCCTTAAACCCTAAGGGTTTAAGGGTTCGATTAGGGCAGTGCTTCGCAACCGCGGTATTTTCAGAATTATGGGAAACGAAAGGACATCACCGTGTTTTATTATTCTTGGGCGACGACCTCGTCGGTCGAATCGACTAGTGATGTTGAATGGACAACGACTTGCACCTTTACACTAAGTGACCTTTTGAAGTGATATTGACCCGAGTTTAACAGATCTCTTTTTTTTTTTTCTTCAGTGAAATAAGAAACTAAAACACATTACTGAAAGAGCGAGAAAGTCGACCCATTCTGGCGGATGATGGGTTAGAAAAGAATTGCGGCCTAACCCAACTGACCCATCATCCTCCAAAATAGGTCGACTTTCTCGCTCTTTGGCCTTCGACACCGGACCTGGGAGAAATTAATGGAACTGTGCCAGTGCAATGACGGGTCTCGGAATGACAAACGATAGACCGGAAGAGCGAAAGAAAACGTGCCATGAGAATGAAAAATATATGACCAAAATATCCATATAGATATGTGTATGATATTACCAATTATTTGCTCCCAAATGGTGGCAGATTCTAAAGTTAACCCCCCCCCCCCCCCCCCCCCCCCCCCCNTAACCCATTCATTCCTGTCGTTACACTTTCCCGTGCCCCCCCCCCCGCAATCTCTCTTTGATCGACCTTACGGTAGAGCGCTCGCTATACCGGCACCGAATTTTCCTTATAGCGAATTTTTTTTTCGCCCGTCCCTTCGAGTTCGTTAGATCGAGCGTCGACTGCATGGACCTTGGAGTCAAATAAGGTCACTCGAAAAGCGACGCGAAGTGTACAATTAATCTGTCAGCGGAAAGCCAGGTGACCCAAGGCCGACCGATCGATCGATGAAAGAGCGAAGGAAGAGGTTTCCGAGGCGCAGAACCAATTCGGTGGTGAGGATCTGTCACCTCGTGAAATACGCGAATTCATCATCCTTTTTAGTATGCCGATGGCAAGGCTCCATTACAGTCGGGCAAATTTGTTTTACCGTCTATCCTCCTCGTCGGGGAGAAATCCTACAACCCCGGGATCGGCGTGGGAGGAAAAAAAAAAAAAGCACGTTCTCGTCCCTGAACTTACCGCCACGAGTCGCTGGGAGATATCTTCCCCGTTCCGCTCGAAGGCTTCATCTTCCCTGTGTCTCTATTTCTCCACAGGCAGTCATTTACATTCTTCCAATCAATTATCATCTATCATCCCAAACCCTCGGACCATCTCTCGTCTTCCCGCTGTGTCCTCTATGCGGCGAACGCCTTGGATCTTTTACTTGGAAAATCTGGTCTCGAAAGCCCAGTAGCACAGCACACTGAACCAATATTGGCTCAACGTCGGGCCAATATTGGTCTGTTGCTCTTAAAGATTTTTTTGGCTTCAATAGCACAGCGTATTGGAACAAGAGCGATTCTTGGTCTGATGTTGATCCAATGTTGCTATATTTGACCAACGGCGGTCCAAATTTGGACCGATGACGGCAAGTGCTCTTCATCCAGTCAGCTCGGCTTCCTTTTCAGCCGTAACTAGGACGTCATGGAGCGTCTGAATCAGCAAAACGGGGTGCAAACACAAAATTCTGTGACGCTGCGTAAGAGGTTCGCGAGAATGGGGGTGCCTTGTCTCGGGAGAGGGTGAAAATAATTCATGCGGGGGGTGGGGCACGGGAAAGTGTAACGACAGGAATGAATGGGTTACATGGAAAAACTGGAGGTGAATTGCTCTTGCACCTCTTGAATGCGATTCAGGAGGTGCAAGGGCGACTCGACCGTGAATTCATCACGAATCTCGCGTTCCTCTCTTGCAAATTCGAAGTTTCGGCTGTAATATCCGAATATGCATATTAAAGCGCGATCGCCTGCTTTCATCGCACCAGTGCCTGGAATTCTCGTGTTTCATTGATCGAGAGAATAATAACGAAGGCCGAAATGACACAAGTCACGGTTTGGGACACGTGACTACCGCTCGTCCCTCTCTCTCTCCCCGTCTTTCCCATCTCTGTGCACGGTGACGGTATGGGGGAGGAAACTAGTTCATCGTCTCCTGACTGTTTACTCGGTCTTTGGGAAATCGTGCTTCCCCTCACGTCAGTTTTTCGACAACATGCCTATCCTCCCCACCTGAAATGTAAAGCTGGTTCTTCTAGAGTGGCTTCTTGGATTCATCGCCATTGAGAATTCATGATTGGGGAAGGACGAACCTACTTTACGAAAACTACGTGATGGGGAAGTGGTGAATCGAGCAAAATGTCCATTATAAGGATGTCAATGGCAAATTGGCCTTCAGGGGCACCAAGTCTGTTGGTTTATTGACAGTTGAAAAAAAATACTGAATCGTCCATCCTTTCGTACATGGGCCGATCTAATCAATGAAAGTTCACTTCCAAGCCTGTACACGACATACTTAAGTTTTATTTCTGTCATTCACCTAAGGAAATATGTAGTGAGAATTTCTTTGTTTCATAAAAATACAGCTGCTAAAATAGAACAATAACGGGCTCCCATGCAGAGTGCTTTTATTTTTTTTTCCAAGCAGAAAGTAAGCTGCTTTCAATGTGCTCAAATTTCAACCACAAGCCACACTCTGGTGATGCCACTCAAAGCTCCCGGCTGAGCTCAAAGCCATCGCACTTCATGGAATATAAAAATAGGCTGAACCAGGAATTTCCAACACTAAAAAAAGAGTCCAGACTGAAAAGAATGCAAGGGGGATCAGCGCTCATCTTGAACATCATCAACGGTCTCTAATTCCTACGCAGAATCAGGGCTCGGTTTGAACATCATCGACAGTCTCTAATTCCTGTGCAGTATCGAGGGCCTCACCGAGGGTCTCCGCAAACTGAAGGCTCTCGGAGACGCTGCTGAACACCGCCTTGAAGGTCCTGCGATATGGCGGATTCTGAAGGGAGTCGCAGGCGGTCCACTCGACCTCGGGCCCGCTGTTGAAGAACGTCGTCTGGATCGTGACGACTTGGTTCGCGTGGTGCTCCTCCCCGTCCTCCATCATGATGTGCCACGTGTAGGCGCCGATGTCGTAGTAGATGGAGAGGGTGCAGGGGGAGGGCAGCTGGTGCCAGGTTCCGTCCTTCTTCTCGAACACCTTCTCGACCTGGAACTTGATTTCTTCTTCCTCTTCGTCGACGGCGTCTTCGTCCTCGTCGACTTCGTCTTCTTGGGACTCTTCTTGGTCCTGTCCGTTTCTTAGTTCCGCCTCGGCGATCTCCTGTTGGCATGCTTCCCATTTCTGTTTGAAGTCTTTGGCGAGAGCTTCCGACTTGAACTTCACGGCAAGCTTCTCTGGCTTGGCCTCTCCTTCCGCAAAATCAATGCAGGTCCACATCCAAGAGGTGTTGCTCGACGATAGTGGCATGAGCTCCATGTCTGGCTTCAGGTAATGATTGCAGGCTAGTTTGTGGACTTGTTCCCGGCGGAAGAGGAGGCGAATGGTGTTGGCCGCAGAGTTCTTGAGGATCTTCATCAGACCGATCCCCCTTTCTTTCCACTGCTTCGTGTCGGAGTCGTACCGAAACAACTTGGACCTCTCGCTGAAGAGCACTTCTTCGTCCTCCTCTCCGGTGCGGACCTGCACCAGTTCCGGGAGGGGGACTATAGGTTCGTAATGAGGGTCGTGGTCGTCGTGGTCCTCTGCTTCGGCGTGGTCGTCCTCGGTGTCTTTGCTTTTGGCTTTTGAACCGCTCCCGAATATGGGCTTCCCTGCACCGGGGAACTGAAACGATTTTGAAGGTTGGTTCTCCAAGAAACTTGGCTGGTCTGAGCTGCTGGCATTCGCTAGGGCTGAAAATGATGGTAGTGAGTCGCCTGCTTTCAAAAAGCTCGGAGAGTCCAATGATGAAGGCATTTTGAACAATATGGAAGGCTTGGTGATACCTTCAGGGCCACACCCAGAATCTCCTGCTGAGGATTTAGAGACACTGCCAAACGGGGAAGTGCCTGCACCAAGAGACTGGAATGATTGAGGTTGGCTGTTCGAAAGAGCTGCAAATGTTGGCAATGAATCATCTGCTTTGCCAAACATGGTCGGCGTGCTGGTGTTTGCATCACAGGATGGTGTTGGCATTTTGAATGATATTGATGGTGTTGTTGAACCAAATGTGTGAGTACTCGCCTGCAAAGGCTTGGATCCAAATATACCGCCACTGTCTCCCGTTCCGAATGAGGCCTTGGACCCAAACACTGGAGTGGCAGAAGATGCACCGCTCTTTGCCCCAAACACAGCACCCGCCAAGTTAAGGGATCCAAAAATGCTTGTGTTTGCACTGGTTTGGGCCGCTGGACTCGCATCACCGGTCCCAGCTTTCTTTGGAGTCGAATCCAGCCTATCTTCACAGCCACGACATCCATCGCATGGAGGAGGAGGATTCGTTTCATACAAGAAGAACGTTGGTGGAAGTTTCAAATCTTCAGCCCTCTTCCTCTGCTCAGGAGTTGGTGTTGCCTCATACACAATCTGAATCCCCTCTTCTTCTCCGTTGTGAGTAGAAGCAATAGTACCCGTTTCTTCACCAGCCATCCTTCTCTGGGCCAGTTCCACCTTCTCCCGGAATAGCCGTGCAATCTCGGCATTCTTCAAGCGGATGACGAACTTCTCCAAGGAGCCTTCCATATTCTCAGAGTAATCCATGGCTGCCCATAACCAAGACCGTTCATCTTTCACAGAAAATGTCAACTCTGGTAACAGGTAGTGGTTGAGACAGGGTTTATGAACCTGCTCTCGCCTCATGACAATTCGCACCTTCCCCTTGTCAGGGTTGCTGAGAATTTTCACTTGTCCGATGCCACGTTCTTTCCATTCTCCACTATGAAAACGAAACAGCTTTGCCCTTTGCTCAAACAGGATCTCCTCACTTTCCTCCCCAGTCTTTAGTTCTACCAAGTCAGGCAAGGAGATGACTGGTTGGAAGAATATGTGATCGCTCTCATTCTCAACAGACTGATTTTCTTCGTCATCCTCATCAGGAGCTGCTTTTTCAGGAGATTTTGGAGACTTAATGGGAGATGCCTTAGATTTTATTGCATCGAAGGAGAATGTGAAGGATCCAGAGGTATTAAATGCAGGAGAACTGGCCAGTGAGATTAGGGGCTGTGCCTGAGGAAGTGTGAATTGGATTGTTGATGCTGCTCCCTGGAATTTTGGGGTTCCAAATGTAAATGGAGCTGGAGACTGAGTCCGACTTATTGCAGGTGTTTCATCTGTTTCTGTCTGGGAAGCAGGACCAAAGGATCCTATTGTGAATAGAGGCTGGTCCTTCAACATTGAAAAGCTGAACTCCAACTTTGGAGTGCTCTCAAGTTCTGGCTTTCCTTGTTCTAGTGCAGCTGACTTGACTTGGTCAGTTTTTGGTGTTTCGTCCTTCTTTTCTCTAGGTGCCTCACAAGCAGCACATAGAATGTTGGCAGCAGCATTTCTGACATAGCAACCAGTACACTCCCATGAACCTTCTTCAGGTCTGAACATCTCATGCAATGGCTTCAATGGCTTTGTGTTAAGCTGAGGTGAAGGTTCTGCTTCAGATGAGTCACTGGAGTCTGAGTCATCATCTATATCCAGAAGATCTTGTGCTTCTTCAAACTTATCCTTGAATTTCATTGCAATCTCAGGGTTTTTGAATTTTATGGCCAGTTTCTGAACTTCCAGAACTCCCTCTGAATAGTCCTGGACAATGACCACCCAAACTTGCTCTGAGTCACTTTTTGGCTGCAATTCTAATGTTTCAGTGATAGAAAAGTTGGCACAGACTTTCAGGACTTGATCCCGTCTCATGACCACTCTGAACTTATTGTTTGATGTGTCATGGAGGATTTTGAGAACCCCCACTCCTCTCTCTTTCCACTCCTTGGTATTTATGTCATATCGGAAGAGCTTGGCTCTCTCCTCAAAGAAAACTTCTTGCCCTTCTTCACCCGTCTTCACATCAATGAGACTTGGCAGATCAATAACTGGTGTAAATTCCACATTTGGTTCATACTCATGTGATTCATTCTTTTCATCAACAGAGTCATCCTCTTCCTTGGATATTGAAGGCTTAAAGACCTGAGTTCCTGTACCAGGCCAACCTTTGAAATTTGGATCCTTCTGGAACAAACTAGTTGGTGTACCGACAGAGGCCAAAGTTGAGAATGAAGGAACATTTGATCCCAAGCTGCTAAATCCAAAAGATGGTTCTGCAGGGGAAGAGAACTTCAGCCCTTCAAATGGTTTCTGCAAAATCTCTTCCTTCTTTTCAGGTTTTTCTGCATCTTCAGTTTTGACAGGGAAAACAGTAGGCTTGGCAGCAAAGGTGAATCCTCCAAAGGAGATCTTTCCATCATTGTTAGCTTTAGTGGTTACAGGACTATTTGTTGATGTCTCTTTGTTGAAGCTGGCCATTTCTGCATTTTCAATAGAGTCTTCTTGTGTCATACTAATTGATGCCTTACACTTTTCCTGTGATTCACAAAAAACTGTCTCAAATGTCTTTGCAATCTCTGATGCACTGAAACGGACACAGAACTTCTCCATGATCCCATCTGGACTTTCTGCATAGTCCTGTGCCGCCCAGATGTAAGCTCGGTCATTATTCTTCATAGGTTGCAGGTTGGCATCTGGTGTGATGCAATGATTTGCACGGACTTTCAGAGTCTGCTCCTGCCTCATGACAAGGCGCACTTTGTTGGTTGCTTTATTCTCCAACAGCTTCAATTGCCCAGTGCCTCTCTCTTTCCATTCTTTGTCAACAAATCGATAAAGCCTGGCTCGTTCCTCAAAGATTACCTCTTCCTTCTCTTCTCCTGTTTCCACAGTCACTTTCTCTGGTAATGGTATAGCTGGAGAGAAATAAGCCTTACACTCCTCCATCCCATATCCATCGTCACCAGTCGATCCAACAGACTCATTACGTTGCTTTCCAGGTGTCTGAGGAGATAAGTCACTATCAGTAGGTTGAGAAGTGCTGACAGCTGGTATCTGGAAGCCAGGCATGAGGCTGGGCATGGCAGTGGGGATCACTGGAGAAAGTGAGGAATACAGAGGTTTAGGAATATTTGATAGGAAACCACTGACAGTAGTTGTGACAGTACTTGAACCACCTAGATGCATATTTGTAGTAGAGAGAGGTAAGCTACTGGACTGAGAAGAACTGGGTCCAGCCAGCAGAGATGCGAGGGTGGCAGTTGACTCTGCTGTAGAAACAGGCAGTGTGGGAACACCCAATACTGATTGAACTTGTGACTCACTGAGGGGCAGTGTTCCAACAGTGGCAGCTTGTGGGTAATAGCTTGCATCTGCTGCTTGCTGCATGTAATACATATCTTGGCAACGGCGATAAGAGTCTTCCATTCCAGCAGTTTGAGAACTCAAAAAGGGGTAGGCAGATCTCCATGCATCAGCAGAAGGAACTGCACTGTCTCCCTTTTCCTTCAGCACTTCAACTAAGTTCTTCATATCCTTTGAGACAGAACCCTGGGCCTCAGCCATGACCTTCATGGTGATTAGAAAATCCTTCATCATATCCTGACCTTGCTGTAGAATCTGTGTGACTTGTTTCATCACTGCTTCATGTGTAGCCATCATATTTTCCTGGGTGGTCATCATCTTCTCCTGTGTAGTCATCATCTTCTCCTGTGTATTCATTATTTTCTCTTGCATTACAACCAGGGTGTCAACACGCTCTGAACTGCGATTCATAGCGCGACGTACACCATCTGTTGATGAAACCAGGTAGGCTAAAGGCATGGCTCTCACTGTTTCATCTTGATTGTCTCTTGAGACAGTCTTCACAGGGGTGCTATGCATAATACTGGCAGAGCCATGATTCCCCACTCGAGGTGTACGAGGAGAGGCCACATCAATGGCTGAATAGTAAGATGAATTACTATCACCGTTGGTCATTGCACTCACATCCATGTTAGTCAAGTCAGCCATTATTTCTTCCAGAAGGTCTGAAATGCGACTCCTTAATTGGGGATTTGCTTCCTGGGACTGGAGACGGTCATGAGCATGGAGTAGGGCATCTCTTGCTGCATACAGCTGCTCCTCCCTCTTATCACTCAAGCACTTTTGAGCAAAGTGTCTATACAGCTGTGCCTTCATCAGGAGGGCTTGCGGACTACTCATGGATGCCAACTGTTTCAAGGCTTCTTCTGGTGGAAGTTGTGAAGCCAAGAAAAGTTTTCCTTCAGTTTTAAGACTCTTCAACTCATTGGGACTGCATTTAGATGGATCATCAAAGAACTTGTTCCAGGAAGGCCAGACTTTGTCCTCAATTGAAGCTTCCAATGCCTTCAGTGCATACTTCCAGTGATGAGTAGCTCTCTTGGACCATCCATCAACATTCTTCAGTTTACTCACTTTTGAAAAGTGCTGAGCCAGCACAGCGGCAAGGCGTGGAGAAAGACCTGTTGAATCAGGGGTTCGAACAACTTCCAGGCCTTGGCTGATAACCTTGTACTGTTCCTTCAGGGCTCCCTTTGTTTTCCCTCCACAGATGGACATCACTGCATTCCACCATTCACCCTGAAGACCAGTTGTTGGAGCAAGAGGAATGACATGAAGTGACTCGGAAGATGCAATGCAGTTGGCTGCTAATAGGAGAAAGGCAACCACATCATCTTGAGAGATGTCTTCCACTGAGAATTTATCCATTTTCAATGCATGTCGAGGCAAGGACAAGAGTCCTGAAGGCAACTGGTACTCATTAGGATGAATTCTGAAGAACCACACCTGCCACACCAACTTGGATGCATTAAGCTCAGCTGCCACTCTGTCGTGACTTTTGAGATCATCCAATGTTGGAAGTGTGATTTGAGCTGGTATAACTAGCCCTCGATTCAAACATATGTCTGGGACAGAATCACCAAGAATCTTCATCAGCTGCTGCTTCCCATGCTTGTTTCCATGTTCAATGAAGCTTTTTTGTACAAGTTGTTCGGCCTCTTCCCCCTGATATAGCAGCCAGTGGCCTGCCTGACTGATTCGCATGTGTCCCAGACTGCTAAGACTGTCCAAGATTGGGAAACCAGTTACACTCTGAGGAAGATCTGTTGTATATGCCTGATATAAGAGACAAGGGGTGGCAGCAGCAGAATTGTTAAGGAGGATCAAGCCTTTCTTGGCCTTGGTCTGGGCAAGGCGTGAGAGAAAATAGCAGAAATCAGCCAAAAAATGGCAGTGCAGAATTAGTTTCATTCCATCTTTCCATTCAGTTTCTGAAGAGCAGAGAACTTGATTCAACTCCATTAGGCAGGCATTAAAGGTTTGAATATTGACATTTTCCTCCATGCAAGAGGCCCATGCTTTAAGATTATGGGCAGTGAGGTGTGCCAGCTTCACTTCAAATGACATGCTCTGTGGTGCATTGTCATGAATCACCTTAGTTAATCCAATCACAGAATCACATAAATTCAAGTCATTGATCAGTTCGGAGTTACATAACAGAGTTGTCAGGTGCTGGATTGCACTCCTCCAGTTCTGTCCTTCAATGTAGGATTTGATGAGATCAAGCAACAATGTATGGTTTCTGGGGTCAGAATGGAGGCGATCAGCCAGAGAGGCTTGCAGCATCTTTTGAGACCCAGCATCAACCTTGGCTCGATCAGCAAGGATGCAATGTCTAATATCCTCCACAATGCTGTGAGCATTACCAAGTGACTGTTCAGCCATTTGGGCAAAGAGTCTTGCTTCCTGTGGCAAGGTGTCCAACTCCTTTAAGATACTGGCCCCAATCTGAAATAGATCCTCTTGGCCACGGTCCCATTCAAGAGAAGTCTTGTACCGAAGAAATGCTCCCTTCTTGTCACCCTTCTCCTTCAGAATGTCACCAAGGAGTCTGTAGCCAGATGCAGAGTTTGGTGTTGCAGTCAAGAACTTCTTAACCTCACGCTCAGCTTCATCCAAGTGCCCATTCCGAAGATGCAGGTTTGCCAATTGATATAATCTCTCAGGATTCATATTATCATTGGCCACTGACCTAAACATGGCTCAGTGAACATCACTTATCACATCACATCTGACATCTGTATTTCACCTGGAAAGAGGAAACACATACATTTAAACAATAAACTACTTATATTAAATTAATATTACTTATTTTACTTAAATACTTATTTTACAATTCAACAAAATATGTATGTAAGGAATTAAAAATCATTCCAACTCTACAAAACACATGGGTCTATATAGGAAATCAAATCATTCTCCAAGGAAGCTGGAATTCCAAACTCATTCATTCAGGAAAATGTTTGAATAACAATACCATCTGTTCCTAGTACCACTTGTTCAGTCCTAGAGGAGTGGCAATACCACAAAATGTCTAATTTCAAATGCAATATATATTTTATGCCAAAAGGAGAGTGCTTCTGTGGACTGTTTCCATTCAAATATCACCTTTGCCAAAGCCAAATTTCTCCTTTCCATGAACCTTTAGTCTGTACTTTTGCCTTTCCAAGATGGAAGATATAGGAGTCATGTGAATTCAAGTTAACAACTTTAGTATAACTGCAAATATAATATAATTTCACACTCCCTGAATAGAATTTAACTTTAGGGATTTCATGCTTTCTAGCATAAGTGAATTTGGAACAAAAACTTGAACTATGAGCACAAGTCACTTGACTCTTATCATGGAAGATCAGGTTTGATTCCTGATCCTGGAAATTTCCAACTCCACTAGGGTTTACCCTGTGATTTCTGCACATCAAATTTTGTTTACACCAAACTTGTTCAGTGCCAAATCTTCCAAAAGGAAGGGTATTCTCTCCAAATAAAGACTATTGCATCTAATAAGTGAAACAAAAATATCTTTTTCTGGAGTAAAAAAGAATGCAATGCCCATATTCTGGATAAGTCCAATGGCAAGATAAAGGGAAGAAGATAGAAAAAGAATGATTATAGGGAATGTTACCTTTGTGTGCAATGCAAGGAATGCAATGCACACATAGAATTTTGAATCCAACGAAATATATCACTGGGCTGCTGATAAAGCACAAAACAGTGTAGATGAACTGCACAGCAACCAATACAAACCCCCCTCTGCCCCCCAAACATTTGCTCGGACATGGTCATTTCAATACCTAAAAGTTAACATACACAAGTTAAGGTAAAAGGAACCACAAAGACCAGATAAGGCAGCCATAAGGTCCATAACCACCTGCCCTGGACCCACGACACTTGCCAACATGGCACAGGGATGACATAATGGAATTAGTTTTATATAATGACCTTACTAACAGGAAGGCACACCATAGTGCTAGTAACTATTACATATAACATTCTTGAGTATTTGTACTATCACATGTCCTTGAGCACTTGTCTAATCACATTATGTTCTTGAGTATTTGTCTAATCACATGTTCTTGAGTATTCATCCAGTAACATGATGTTCATTAACTCTCCACTGAATAATTCAAAACCTTTTGTTCTTCTTAGGCATTTTTCTTCATCTACCTTCCTCTCCTGTCTGCTTCCACCCTGTTACCTTTCACCTGTGTCTTCTTGCAAAGATTTGGTCTTGTAGCTCTTCGGACTGTGGGTGAAAAGCGATCTGTTTTGGCCTCATTATTTAGTGGTTGGACTCTTTTATGCAAATGAGGAGACCTTTCTCTCTTGACCATTTTTATACCTCTCTTCCTTTTAGGAGCCAGGTGGCATGGAGGACTTCCAATTTCAGACATAGAACATAACTTGCTATGAGAACTGCTCTGCAGGCTTTCCAAACTCAACTTCTCATCAGTGATCTCAGAACAATTAGCATTGTCCCTGGGCCTAGTGGATGCATCAGGTCTGACCCTACATGCCCTTGAATACTGATCATTTTCTTGCTTACCCAAGGACTCAACAGCCAAGTGATCCATAGCTTCATGACTGTCTTTTTCACTTGTAGATGCAATAGCGACTTTGCTCTGAAAATCATGCTCAGAAGCCTTTCTTTGCTTGACAAGGGCTTTCTTCACAGTCCCAGACTTACGAAAACCACCACAAGATTTTCCCAAGTTATATTTGGGAATATCAGGTCTTGAGGCAGCAGTGCAACCTCCACACTCTACTTGAGATTCAATCACCTCATGTGATGAAGAATTAAATACATGCTCACATGTCTTGCACACATGGGATGGATTCCTAAAGCTTTTGTCACTATTCTCAAAGAGGGTATTATTACTCACAGACCCATTAGTGATAGATTTTAAGTGAGGCTCCTCACATTCATCAATCTCCAGGGAAGATTCTTCACCATGGTCATCATTACCATTATTATCAATTTCCTCCTCTTCAAAATTGATGTTGGGCATGTCTGGCAACCTGGCCACCATGTAATTAGGTTCTACCTTATGAGGATCATAAATCTCTTCCTTTGGTTCATCTGCCTTAAATTTGGACACAATGCTTTCCTCCTTCAAAACAGTTTCTTGCATTTTCTTCAAATACCTTCGTGGTAGATCTATTTGCAAGACAACCTTAATTATTCTCACAGAAACAGGAGCAATCCGTGTAAGCCCAGAGTCAGTGTGATTAACAGAAGGAATGAATGGTCTGTCCTCCTTGACTTCAGACCAGGGAAACCTGGCATTGCCTTGTGGATTAACCTTACGATGGCCCCTGCCTCCATTCATTGCAAAAATTTTCTTGTCTTTGTAAACACCTGAAACCATAAGGAAAATAGAGATAACTCTAAACTCAGAAACACCACCAAAAGCCTAAAACTAAATGAAATTAGCCTGAATATTTTGACATTAGTTTCTATGAGCATGTCCCACATATGGTCTAAGTTCATTCATGATGAAGTAATACTCACCCAAGGTATTATAATTCAGTCCACTCAAACATGACAAAAAAATTTGCTGACACTCCACCTTCGTTTGCTGTCTATCCGTTCCATACCTGATTCCAAAAAACTATGCCCCAGGGTAACAGGCCTTTCCCAAAAGTATTGTTAAAATTGCAATCTTTCCGGATTTCTCTTGAGAGTCCCTCCTCCGAGAATATTTAAATGAAGGCATCAGTGGCTTAAAGCTTCCCAAAGCAACTTTGGCCAATTCACAAAGGCCACACAGTCTAAAAGTAAATATGTAAGAGTAGGTGGGACTGTTACCATGCTGCAGTTTCCAAGTGATCAGCTCACAGCCCAAGTGATCACTCTCCCAGTTGTTTTAAGGAGGCCCAATCCTAATGTAAAAACATGTGGGAGTTCCACCCAGTCCCCTTTTGCTTTAGACATGTTGACCAATGTTAACACATCTAACATTAGGCCTAATTGATCCAGGAGGAAGTAGAGGACATACCATAGGGAGGGAGAGGGGGTTGACATAATGAACTACACACAAACACTTGAGAGGTCCACACCCCCATATTACATAACACTTTATTCTTGGTCCACATGAACTGGAAAGTAAGTACAGCCCAAAGTTACTTATCAAGAGTTTTAAATGTTTCACTGGAAACAGGATCTGGAATTGTCTAAGGTTCCCATCTTTCACCATACATCCCTCTTTGCTCAATGACGAAAATTCTGAAACACCTTCTGATCCAAGTCTTTCCTGTCTACTATGTTCAGAGATAATGCATTGCCTTATAATTTACTTGTAGGCCCAGGCCAAGACAGTGCATGAAGCACCAGGCATGTATTCATGAACAGTTATGAAATAGAGTTGCAGGCTGTAGATGAAGAAATGCAACATGAGCATCAGTAGTTATTTCCATGCATTCACCATAAGGTCACTTTTTCTCATTCTGTATCAGGAATGGTACTGTCAACATAGGCAGCAGATTTCATCACATCACAATATTTAAAATGAGTTTTCGAAGTCCACCCGGGTCGCCTAACGCACGTCTAGGGCATTACGCGACATGAATCGGTTAGTCACGGGTTGCGTGAGAGCAGCCTACAAGGAACAATATGTCCAGCCTAACATGTGGTTCTGTCTAGTCCGGGGTTGTCGCTCCTCACACTTTCCCCACTTTTCCGCCCAGAACTTGAAATTCAGATGAAAGACCAACGGCCTAAAGTCGGTCTCACCTTCGCCATAACGTGACCCTAGGGCGTAGGCTATATCTAGTTAGGCCTATCCACGACTCGACTAAGCGGAGACTGACGTCAGCGGTAGAAACCCGCACAGGACAATGGAGAATGCGGGCCGTCACCCAAAGGAATTCGTGCAACCAAGGCCAAAGCTAAGCGGTGAGACTACGACGTCTAACCACGATTAGGCCACTACTTCGACGTGCACTTTGCCGCCAGATGTCTCATCCTCCACGAGCGCCGTGTGCGCGCAGGAGTGAACTATGGTTGCCAGATCATCGAAAAAACCCCTCCCCCTTCCCCTTTCTTTGACGCATGCATGAGATTCGTACCGACATCATAAACGTTGTTCGTCAAAGCTTTTGCGCCAAAATGAGGACATTATATTCATCATCAAACCTACAAATATCCTCAACCATTTGGTGAAGGTATTTGCTTACAATTGAAGCCACCTTTATATAACACTGGAACTGTTCTTTTTCAAACGTATTATTATTATTATTACCAGTGTCATCATTACCCGAATTAAGCTTGTGTTGACCTATTGGGTCTGATACTAACTGGTGTCAACGCAGTTCTGCAGTTTGAACTTGAAGGGTTGCAATTCTCGGAGCTGAAGGAATCTTCTCTCATTAGGAATACAGTTCTCGCCATACATACAGTAATAAATACAGTCAACCGGATGAACCGGGTACTGCGCAGAGCGCTTCAATCATGTCATACATAAATATGTTTCGTTCGCAAGCCACCGGGTCCTACCTCATTCTAAATGCAAAGCGACCCATTCAGGTTCGACCGTCATGCTGCCAAAATGTCACATTTATGATCGTCGGAGGCGTTAGAACAGTCAGACCAGAACAGCACCATGACAGTGAACGAATAAAATCTTCAAGCTCCGAAAGAAAGAAAGAAGCGACGAAATCACGAGACTACCCCAATATCCGATAGATGTCGCAAATAGTTAGAAGGCAAGATGGTTCCTTCCATGAATTCAGCTGGGAAAACGCTTCTTTTCCACACGTGGTGACACCCGCCGATGGAGTACAATACTGTGAAATCTGATATGTGATAGGCCTTAAGAAAGATTAATTACGGAATTCTGTAGCGTACAGGATGGCCACTGGAACAGAATACATTCGGGATGAGTTCGGTGAGTTTTTGTAGGCATGCTTGCAGACCTAGGCGTTTGCCTTAGAATTAAAGTTAAATTGGAGAAATGTAGGCCTACTTTAAAACAATTGACTAAGATCGGATGAAATTTAGTAGAATGAGGTTGCAGAGAATTCATGAGTTTCTTCCCAGAAAGAAGAATGGAGAATCCTGTCAGTGTTTATTGACAGGATAAATATCACTTACGTAAACCATGGGAACAGTTTGTAATGTAAGGAATTACTTCCGATTCTGAGAAAATTCTAGGTGAAACGGTTTAAGAAAATTGCTCAAATGTTTTGATGCAACTAAGAGATCATGAAGAAAAAATTTCAGAGTGGACCCCCAGGGGTGTCTTCAAGAGCACTTCCCAGTTGTTGCTGAAAGAAATCCTTTAACCTGCATTCAAGCCTCAGAAGGCAAATATTTCAAACAAAGGCGAAATGTTTTAAAAATGTTTGGAAACTTCATTTTAATTTTGATAGGCATTTGAATGTGTCAGGAGTGATTCCATGTTATTATATAGATGATACAGTAATTCCTTATTTTTCAATGCTGGATTGAATGATGTTCCAACACAGCATTTCATGCAATATATGTTCCAACACAGCATTTCATGCAATATATGTTCCAACACAGCATTTCATGCAATATGCAGCTGTTCTCACTTGAATCATTTACTGAGTTCCATTACAAAATAGTGATAATAAAGGATGTCTTGATAGATTGAGGTGAGTACATTACAATACAGTCCATCTGGCAGGTTGTTATCTGCCAGTGCCGATTTCCAAAGAAGACTGTGTAGAATGAAAGAAAAAGAAAAAGAAATTATGTGAACAGGCTCGAAAACTGATTCTCAAGGGCAATAAGAAAAAATTAAGGCTGTCATATGCATATATCAATGAATGGATGTCATCTCTGGTAGTTGGAGGCATGGTAGGATTCATTACTCCCTGCTAAGGTCACACCTTTCCCCACACACTGATCACAAGCGTGAGCTCATGGAGGATGGATAGAGGTGTGCGCTCCGATTGAGGCAAGAAATGATGGAAGACAAACCTCAGCCCGATCGCGGTGAGAAAAGATTGAATCCTTCGGTGCATCCCTCCCCCCTGATGCATCGATATACTATCAACAGTTCGGGTCAATACATCAATGTTTTTTAAACTGCTATCGTGACAGCCCTAGTGATAATTAGATATAAGTCAGTATTGAAGGTACAAAAATATTCCAACCACATGCTCAAGTATGCATAATTGCCTACCACAAATACACCTAAGAAACCTTAATAACTCTGATCTGAAAATAATCCTCATTGCAGAGTCTGCAGATACAGACTCATCAATGATAATAGACTGACAGAATTCTGTTGGTTAATGGAATGGGAAATTATACGATGGCCATTATATTTCTTGTCTATGCTGCTGGAAGCAGACACTTGTTCCCTTATGTTAATTCTTATCATAAAACCCTAGACTGGTCAGCAGAATGTCTTTTCCTTTCAACATATAAGAAGTAAGACTGAATTGGCAAGAAATGCCTGACGATTTGTGGAATGACCTTGATGGCAATTGGCGATATTGCATCCCTTCTTACTGGGCCAACATAGAGACAATACCTGTTCTTCCTCATTGTTTCATCCTGGAGTAGGTTTCCAAGATGATGGAATAATTGGCAGTGAAATAAACATCCATGCAGAATCACTTAAAAAAAAAAACATTGAATGGGCTGACCTGTTGCTGGGCATAAGAAATAACCATAGCAGTGATTCTAGTATTGCCTAGTCATTTTGAAGTCTGCAGTCAAGAGTCAACTCAAAAAAAGTTCCTTCCTTAAAAACAGCAGAAATATTGGCTAGGAAAATACAGATCTGTATCAGCCCATTAACCAACCATATCCATAGTTGACAGGCAGATAACCTTCCTATTCTGTTTGGGTCTATTTGACCCGAAACACTCGTTCAACCTGATGTATCTTTGATGTATTTCATCGAAAAAATTGAATTTTTTTTACTTTTCCTAACTTTTCAAATATATTTACAACCTCAAAATTGAACTCATTTCCATGAAGCATTACTAAAATATTTGTGATACCCCCTCCTGTTATGCTCGGGTCTATTTGACCCGATTGCAATACTAGTGCATTTTCCACTTTGGTTACACCATCTTGAACCTTCTTGGAACAAGCTTCCAGAGCATTTGTCCACGAGAAATGTAATGATTCTCAAAGTCAAGTGTTCTGCCAGTTTTGGGAAAGTGCAGATTCAATCTGGTTTTGGCTTCACAAGCCTGTCTGGGTTGCTGCGTGACTTCTTGTTGCATTACACCCTCTTGGGGCATTTTCTTCGCTTTTTGTTGCTGGATTATCCTTGGCATATCTCTCATGTTTTTCAGAGACTGTATGAAATACATGATGGAATCAGCCTTTTTTTTGTCTATGGAAATTTGAACTTTACATATGACATAGACATATTCTTGACGTGGCACATGCACAGCACTCAAAGGTTAGCAAACACATGCTAATATTGTTCAAGAGGTGTTGACTTGTTCAGCAAAAGACAGATATAATGCCATCACAATGACTACTATACAGGTGAGCCCTACATTACCTTGGAACATTTATTTTGGGTGCCAGTATATTATATGTTGGACACCTTGGCCTACAATGCATATGTGCTGTGGGCTGCAATAAATCTGGGATGGCACTAGAACAAGCTCTTCAAAAGAAGATTGTTCTTAATAGAATTGGGCTTGCAGTTCTTTTGCCCATTGCTAGAGACAAGAGAATATTTTATATGTATACTGTCCTCTGCTACCATTGTCATTTCTGTGTGACTGCCTAGACCATGCAATGACTTGAGCTCCTATGCTGGACTGAGTGCATCATACAACAAAAAAGAGCTGGATATACTTTTTGTCCCTCCACAATCATCAGCTGTACGTCATGTGGAAAAAATATTTGCAATTTGGGCACAAGTATGTTTTATGTGCCTTGCAAAGTCAATAATAAATAAAGGTTTGTCACAATTGACAATTTTAGGAATCAGTTTTTGTTGCAACATTTTGGAATTAACTCAGTGTTAACAATAATTAGGTATGCAAACATAGCTAATAAAATAATGAACACATGAGTGATTGACCCTTTTGCTATAGGAAATCACGAAGCAGCAAAAAAACTCAAGTGAATTCCTATTCAAATCAAAGGAAGTGTATATCAGGTCAGGGTGACCCGAACGTAAATGGTGTACCTAAAATGGGAACAGAATAGGAAGGTTAAATAACAAGATATGCTCCTATCGAAATAATTGTTTTGGTTGGGGAATGGACTCTATTTAAAACATTAATACACTATTATTCACAAATTCTCTTTACAACTTGAAAATCTTATTGATTCAGAACTAATAATAATAAGTAAGTTGAAACCAAAACATGCAAAAACACTTCAAGTTTTATCCTGAAGCTTCTCACTGTGGCTTCTGCACATGATGTGGTCCACATCCCAGCAATATTTTATGTTTATGCCAAATTCCTTGTAGCATATCTGTTTCCACATTGGATACTCACAATGGGTGCAAGTCTCCTCACAAACAGAAATGCAGGAAAGGGAAATCTGATGATTGTGGAGGCCAAGCGAATGGCCCTCCACATCTGATCTGACATCCTGGGAATTTTTTTATCAGAGAAACATCATTTGATGAAAATGTGCAGGAGCACAATCTTGCTGAAAGATGATGTTATCCCCCATGTCCTCATCCATTTGTGATACAAGAAAGTTCCAAGTATGTCCAGGTTCATTTGAGTAGCAGCACATGATTCTCCAAAATGCACAATGCTTTCTGAGCTGTGAAGTCCACCTTTTTGCTGATTTGAACTCACATGCCACCTACAGAATGAATAGGACTTGGGTATTCAGGTGACGCAAAACTTGATATTTTGCAAATCTTATTGCTTCAAAACTAAAGAGAATTTGTGAATGGGTATGTATGTATAGGTATTCAGGCTTAGGAATTGTAATACACCTTGGTTCTTATTTCAATTTTTACCTTCTTTTCTGATGAAATACTTTGAAACATGCCTAAAACTATATATTTTGGACTTTGTTGGTGATGTATCCTTGCAACAGGAAAAGAACAGGTATGATGTAGTAAATGTCAGATAACTTACCTTTTAATTTTTTTTGAGCATATAAGTTAATCTCTTCATGTGCACTCCCATGGCTGGTCCAAACCCAACTCATGAATTCTCCTAAACTACTTCCACTAGTATTACTATAAGGTCTACATTGAACTGCGATGTTGGTATGTTCTAATATACCTTGCTTTAGTTGAATTCAACATATTGATATTTCTACTGACACCTGACATGACAGGTGCCTTAGAGGGATTTAAGTATCATCCTAGAAGGTGTTTTATTTGAATGGAGAAATATGACACCAGGTCTCTATGGAGCAGTGTTTAAGACCTATTTCAAATGTGGAAATAATATCCTTATATGAAGTTATTTATCAATAGCTGATAAGCCCACTTCATGCCAGAGCATGGTGCAGATGCTCCTACCCTAGAAATTTGATGATGCTTACTGTGGCATTAGACTTTTTTTCAGAAAAAGAACGATTACGTGAAAGTACCTAAATCTAAATGAATGTTTGAATGCAATATCTTGAAACTTTTCATTAGATTATTTCTCTATAAATTTTCCAAATAATTCATTGTTGTATTAGAACACTGCTTCCATTATGAAAGGAAACCAATTCAAGTGTGACCTGTCATCAACATGGAGAGAGTTAAATAATTTCAATTATAGAGTGCGGTGCTGCAGTTGTACAGTTACCTTCTCAGAAACCATCAAATTTATTTATCATGAAAGAGTTTCTGATGCTTGCTTTAATTTAGGAAATTATGTCAATGGATGGCTATTGTTTGCTGAAATCCCTCTTCTGGCTGAGCATGCATCATGGCTTGAAACCACGTAAGATGCAATACTTGGTGTATATCTAAATTTGAAAGGTTTGAAGTGGCTGTAGTGATGAAGATACACTAATGAATATTAAACTTTTTGCATTATGTGCCCTGGAAAGTGCTGTTTTTTAACTCATAGTTTTACCTCTTATGTAATGGTTACATGCCTACATGTGAGCCTTGATTTGATGTGATTTGTCATACTGATGTGCTTGTTATCCTTTATCAGGTGCACTTTTCATTGCTGCTAGTCAACGACCAGATGGCAGCTGGAGAAAGCCTCGTCGTGTGAAAGATGGCTATGTCCCCCAAGATGAAGTCCCTTTGTAAGTGGTGGTATTAGCGATAGGATAGGCCATACATTATTGATAAGACTGCTACTTAAACTGATAAAAAGGTAGAAAGTGCTTCCTCATGGGTTTCATTTGTCACATATATCAATTTTTCTCATAATAGATGTGCTTTTGAAATATCTTTGAAAATGCCATCAGAATCCCTGGTGTACACTTAATTTTTGCTAATTGCTATCTTTTATGTCCAAGAAAACCAGGTCTTTGTCATTATTAGAAATATAATGTTTGTTCTTCAATGTTAGTTTAAACATTTGAGGCCAGATTTTAAGTTAGATTAGCATACATTTTTTGTTTTCATCTGGTTTTTACTGTTATATCAGTGCTACAATGCCAGAATCACCAAAATGCATTTTGTTTGTTGTGCAGGAGAGGTATACAAAGTTTACAGAAGGGGATAATAGTTCAGGATGACATCAGGCTTTATTTCTATAATGATCTTGTACTTGGTTGTAACAAAAGTTTTTGTGCATGCAAACAATGCAACAGTCCACGAAGCATGATTTTTTTGTCACACATACTGAACGAAAGTGCGTTTTATGCCACGTATAAATATATGTAGCTATATTTTTACAAATTGCTAAATTGATAAAAATTACAGTTTTCAGAATGTGTGGTGAAAAAATTGTGCTTCACGGACTGTTGGATTGTTTGTATGCATAAAAGCTTTGTGCATACAAACTTTGTTACAACGTATTAAGTGCAATAAAAGAAGACAGCAGATTGGCAATTCTAGCATTGGAAAGATTGCAGTCTGGCATTATAGTGGCAATATATGTGTTATTGTTGCTGTTACTATATGAAGCTTATTAATCATCGAAATCCAGGTATGAGAGCAAAGGGAAGCAATGGGCTAAATCCAAGCCAGATTACCCTATTGGATTGGCTCCAGAAGATGTGGAGAAACATAGAGCAGCTAAATCAACCTTTTCAGCTGATGACCTGAAGATTGAGTACTTCCAACTTCCCACCACTACACCTCCTATACCTGGGCTCCCCATCACAGAAGCTCCATCCCAACCAGGTTCTTTTTATCCCATTTTTTTAAAAAGTACCTTGTGCAAAGGCAACCTTTGTTATTAAGGGAAGGTTTGGTAATTTAAGTGTGGACCTTGACATGGTCAAAAGTGGAACAAGTCTCAGTGGAATAAGGACTTATACTTCTCATCCTTGCATACCCTTGGAGACAGGAAGACACATACAAAGCAGACTAGATCTAGCCAACCACTTTATGTCATGAGAGCTTATAAACAAAAGGAAATTCTCTTCAGGAATTCCAATGGCATAGCTTTAAAGCAATTTCAAACAAAGCTGTGTCATTGCCAAGTAATTACATAACTTCTCATAGTTATGGTTTGTAGCATAAAAAAACTAGCCAATCAATAAACAGACTTTATAGATGGTCATAACTTTATTTATGAAACCATTCAAATTTAAGAAATTTTTAGCAATGGAAAAATGTATGACCATCAATTCCTACACCCTCAAGTACTTCCTACAAGTATATTGATTTAAGAACCAATATCCATTGTATCCCTAGATGAACTTTGAAAAATGTTGGGAAATTTTTAAATTGAGGAAAAATCCTCTTTAAAATTTTGGCTGTAACCTAAATGAAGGAAGACCACAACTCAAATTCCAGAATATTATAATTTTTACAAAAAGAATGTGTCAGGAAATTACAATGCTAGAAGTGATATTATGTTTAACCTTGCAAACAATCCAAGGCAATCCAGTAGAGGCCCAAAAGGAGGATTGCCTGGAAAATAGGATTTAATGTATAATTTCAAGATTCCTTTCATGATTCTTTTGCACCTGGTGTCTAAGAATCAATCAAAAATTCAAAAAGATTGGTTCTTAGCTCTCTTGGCTTAAAAAAAAAAAAATATATATGTTTGTATTTAGTGGAAAGTTGAAAAATGTGTGTAGCATCATTATTATATTTGAAATTTGTTTCTGAGTGCATAATTACTTTTACAGTACCTTTTCCCATACCATATATAGCATTCAGATGTCAGAAATGGCAAGGAGGTATTCGGTTTTTCCTGTAGAGATTTCCTCTGAAGATTTATATCCTTCGGACATCGTGACTTCAGGCTAACTATGCTTGCAATCAGAAAAGTATAATAATATCTTCCATTTATAAATCATGCTATAAAGCAACCTATCTCTCATCATAGGTCAAATTTCCAAGTCTGCCAAGAAGAATGCCAAACGCAAGGAAAAGAAGAAAGTTGCAGCTGCCACAAGTGCTGCTGCTGTCACAGCTGCAGCAATTGGTGACTCCCCAGCAAGCTCTAAGTCTTCAGTCTCAGATTTTGCCATCATGGGCCTGGATGCTGAATTGGACAAGCTAGAACTTGGAAGTGATGATGCTTCTCCTGAATCGTACACCAAGCGGCTCCGAAACTTGCGCAAGAAACTGCGGGACATTGAGGCATTGGAGAGGCGTCTTACCAGTGGAGAACTCCCAAGCGCCGACAAGGACCAGCTGGAGAAAGTGAAGAGAAAGGAGCAGGTTGTGAAAGAGATTGCAAGTCTGGAACGTCTTCTTGCAAGAATTTGAAGGATCTCAGTTTCTCCCTCTTGATTCCCAGTGTTTGTGAATTGTCCTTATCTTCCTTCCTTGCAGGTCTCCCCTTTACTTTTGTCTTGGTCATACTTCTTGTTTTTTTGCATTTCTGATGATGCTGACATCCGTGTAGTATACGTTTCAATGGTTGATTTTGATTTGGTTTGGCAAATTTGTGAATATAAAGTTTGATGTTGAACTTGTCCAGTCTTCATTCTTATCATAGTATTATGATAAATGTATAAAATCATAAAATTCATCCTAATTTTGTCAAAATGTATATTTCATTTTAGCATTAAAATGTGGAATACAGGAAGACCTTGTCTTTATAATTTCTATTTTTCTTGTCCTCTTCAGGTATATCCTCACAACAAAATAACAGTATGAAGTTCCACTATCTCCACATGTAATGTGAAGATGATGTGAAACATAATTTACAGAGAACCTTGGGCTCTCTCCATTTACTTTGGAGGGCGAGAGGCCTATCAGAGCTCCTGTGAAACCACAAAGATCCTTGTTTTTATTATATTCTTTTTTTCATACTCCATTTTGTGTTGATTCCATGAGAGTTACAGGCTTGGAAGTTTCTGACAGACCAAAAAAAAACAATTGTGACATTTCTCTCTTGAACACTGAACTTGCCATCAGGAATAAGCTATGGGATCAACTGGTATCCTGATTGTGACATCAGTGACAAGGTCACATTCGGGCCTGCGGGATATGTTTCGTGCAGCTGCGAGGCACATCCAACGTCTCATGTTCATTGGCATTGATCCCAGCCTGTCTCGAACAACCATCCCACCAACATTTGGGGCACGGCGAGATCTCATCTCTTCTTTGTACGATTGCGCCTACCAGGCATCTCCACATCTTGATGCAAGGGTGCTCCTTGGCCCTCTGAAGCATCCAGGTCAGGCACTTAACCTGCGTTGTCCTGTGGAGGTGGTCCTCTTTGATACTGGCTACTCTGAAGATTTCATGAAGAAGTACATTGAAGCTCAAATTCCAAATCGGGATCCTGGATGTCGCATATTGTCTCTGGACGTTCTCTCGCACGATTCCAGTGCACCTGGTATATATCTTGGTCTTATGCTGATTTCCTATCTGTGTTTTATGTCTTAATGGGAATGATATTCTTGTCACTCCAATAGGGAAGAGTTGTGTAAATTTGGGATTAAGCATTATAATGTTCAAGTATCAGGTGAAAGGACACAACTATTCATGGAATCATGGCAAGGGCCTCAGAGAGCAGGTATCCTTAAGTTTGAATGCAGGTGTATTCCATCCAATCTCAACTAGGAAAAATGGACAATTGGCTGCCCATCTCAAGCTGTATTTGCTTTGCAACCTGCATATTTGCTTATGCTCACACTGAGGATTGAACAACATGAATGTGAGGGAATCACTTAAGCCATTTTCAAGAATATATACATAGTATGACAGTGCTACCAAATTTTTTTACTTTTTTTAATGTCTAATTTTGGTTGTAATTTTTAAAGTTATTATATACTGGGGTATATTATCTCAAAGTTGTCATTAGCTCCTAGTCTCATTCCAAGGACAAGGATATATAGGAAAAAATTACAATTATGAAGGAATGGGTGAGAAACACCAAGCTACATTGTATTTATACAGGTTTGCATGTCCATAATACAGGGTGTTCAAAAAGGAAAAACAACCCATTGGAGAATGCATGTTTATTAGTAAATAATTTCAATTCCTAATGTAACTTAAAACAATGAATATTCTTTTCTTTCTTGAACTGTGAACACCATTCTTGTACTTAATGATCACTGAAACAGAAAGAAAGCAATGGGTTACAATGATATATGCCTTATCCAATAGGTTGCATTTCTTTTTGAACACCCTATATAAGAGCAAGGGTCCAATGGAGAGGCTTTGGCTATGGTCAAGATTCTAAAAAATTCCAGTTCAGAGCTTTCTTTGGTTTTTAGTTCCTTTCCTGGAGATCTGGTTATAATCTGTGAGCAAAGAGGAATGTGCAGCAATATCACTACCCTAATTTATGGATAATTTGCCTCCTTTTAGATTTTAAGATGCCATGAAGACACTAAAAAGCTATTGCAGACTTGGGATTTTTGAGGAAGACTGTCCAGTTACTTTATATGGACACTAAGCTCTGAGCTAAAGCATTCATTTTGACTTGTGGCTGCCTGTCTCCATCTCATAAGGTTACCCAGCCATTTCATTTTGCAGGGACCCTGAAGGATAGTCCCTCTGTGAAACCCAAGGAGAAATTTACATCCTTTGACCATGTGGTGGTGGGTGGGACATTCGATCGTCTGCATCATGGCCACAAGATCTTCCTCTCTGAAGCCCTCCTGCTGACAAGGAAAATCCTCACAGTTGGTGTCGCTGATGGGCCTCTCATCCAGAGTGAGATGCCTGCTTGTCCTTGACACTGCTTCTTTCTGTTGGTGGATGAGGACTAATACAAGTTTTGTACAGTTTAACTAGTCATGATTGCAGGTCAGCATAGTTCACCTTTTGAGTCAGGCTTTCATAAAGTTCTTTAAATAAAGTTATTTACCTTACGTCAGAGATACTTCTGCTTCCAATGTTGTATTACTGTCATGAAATGTTCAATTTTTTCATTGACCTTCCTGAATTCATAAGAGTACATATTCTAATTATTTTCCCATTTTAGGAAATCCATGCTTTGCAAGTACCATGCACCAAAGAAAGTGTATAACAAAATTTAAATTTATTCTAAAATCAGAAAAGTGAAGTACAAAAAAATAAAGTAGTTAAACTACTTCAAAAGGTCATTTAGTTCAGGAGATAATATAAACTTTCACGTAGTAGTTTTTCTCCGTAGTTACAGACAAGTTCATTCCCTCTCATCACTGTACCTCTCACATGCTTTGTGGATGTTATTTACTGTGGTTCAACAATCCAAGTTAGTGAAAGACAGTTGAAACCCATCTCGTACAGATAAGAAGCTGATGGAGCTGATAGAACCATGCAATACGAGGATCGAGAAGGTCAATGACTTCCTCATGGATGTTGATCTCAGTGTCGATTATCGCATCGTCCCCATCTATGATCCTGCCGGGCCTACAAGATATGACGAGACCATGGATGTGAGATTCCATTCTTTTGAGTCATTTGTCTGGCTTATGCAAGGAAAATGTCATTGGAAGCAAGAATGCAAACAGAAAGTTCAAAAGGGAGGCAATGTGATTGGGATCCAACCAGATTGGGGTGCTAGGGATTGAGGGGAGTTAGCATGGAGGATAGAGAGGAGATTAATTAAGGAAAGTGCAACAGGGCTTATGCCTCATCCTTAATCTCTTTCCTCTTTCATTTTTACTTCTTCTCTTTAATTTCATTTGCACACTCTTCCTGTGGCTGCAATTCTATGTCCATGCCATTCTAATTCTGACACTACAGGTCACCCCAGAGCATCATTTACCTTCTTTCTTTATGGATGTTGCCAGTAACCTGGAGAAGCAAGACACACCATATCATGATGCCATGATTGACACTTGCACTTTTGATACTGTCAAAACTTTTCAATGTAAATTGTGCTCTTAACCCTTTCATGGCTGAATTAAGGAAATGTATAACTAAGAAATTTTTTCACCACTTCTTCTATTGAACAGGCCTAGCTATAGATGGAGCTTGCAGAAAATTTAAAATATTTACTCGTGTAATCTAAAATGGAATTTTTTACTTACAAAAATCATTAACCAAAAATATTGAGTAACAGGCCATTGTTCACACATGGGGAGCCCCTTAAACTTGGCCTTTGTCCCAATTTTATCCATTCATTCTTGCAGCATGTGGGCATATTTTTCCCTTTTCCAAAAAAAAAATATTTATATTTTTTCGTTCAAAATTCCTTTTCACAAAAAATCAAACATATCTGGTCACAACATTTCTTTTTGATCCAGCTTGCCTGAACTGCAACCTATTTGAATGAATGATGCATCACCGAAGGGTCCTTTTCGAGAGCTATTAAGCAGTACCATATAAAACATGTTTTGTTCAATGGTAACTGCAAAAGCAGTCTCAAAAGATATGATCCTTATAATGATCATACACCATGAAAGGGTTAAACATAGTTTCTTTTCAGAATTAAATACTGTCAATATGATGCTCCAAATCTTTGAGAAAATGGCATATGCAGGGAAGGACCTATTTGGATTGTGAATGTTTGAGGCTCCTTCTGCAGTGCCTGGTGGTAAGCGAGGAGACTCTGCGAGGTGGGGAGAAGTTGAATGTCATGAGAAGGGAAGCAGGTCTGCCAGAGATGGCCCTCCATGTGGTGACTCTTGTCCCAGAGACCCAGCAGCAGAGTGCAGAGGAGGAGGAGAAGATAAGCAGCTCCTCCATCCGCATGCGGCTCCTTGGAACTCCCCTCCGTCCTTCTAAGGTATGTCGACCCAGGGGTCATGTGAACAGTTTTGGTCTTTGAGACCAATGACACTTTTCCATGAAAGATCACTGATGTCATGAACTTGATGTAGCCTCGGTTCCTTGTTGAGTGATAAGGAATTAAAGGGGTTATCTGTCTCCCCAGTCTTGTTGGTGGAGGATGTGGTCACTCATTTTCTTCTAAATTTAAAAAAAAACTATGTTTTCAAGGTCAAGGAAAGAGTTTGATGGACCAAATTGATGAACCCTTGGTTTCCATTTTCAGTTCTGATGATATGATGCACTTTTGTAATTCATCAGTCATACAAACAAATTCCTGAAGTTCTGTCTTAAGATTTACATTCTACTTTTCTAACAAAGATGCAGTTAACATTTGAATGTTTTATCATCATGGCTTTTAATAAGAGACTGCAATTTATGATGTGGGCATTCCTGATGTGTAATCTGACTCATATTGCTATGGTGATGGTGAGATCCATAATGAATAATGAGATGGGTTGACTTGTCCATGTCTCCTTGGAGTTGGTGCCCAAAGGATCATATCCTTTGGGAGAGGAGTCATCACTCACAATCTTGAGGCCCACAATAATAACAAATTTATTGTAGTCCGAAATTTGAAAACAGTCTTTTACAGGTCTTCCCAATTAATGGCTCACTATCAGAGTTGGGTAATAATATGCTACTGTACCATATTACCCATTCACGAAATTAGAAATGGTAATCATTCCATCTTTTCAGAAACAGCATGTTTCTTTTTGTTTGCAATTTTGTTAGTGGTCATCATTGCAAGTGAAAAATGAAGGGAAAAGATCTCTATTTTTGTGTGTTCCAGCTGTATACGAGGTGTGGCTATTAAGTTTCCAGACTTTATTTTTGTATTTTTTACTTTTAAACTTACAAATTAATCACATTTATCGCCTTCAAAGTACTCCCCTCCAGAACGTATACACTTATCCCAACGATGCTGCAATTGCTGGAAACAGCGGTGGAAGGCTTCTTTCGGGATGTCTTTCAGAGCCTGCATCACATTTGTTTGAATGTCTTCAATGCTTTGAANTCAAAAGGTCATTTAGTTCAGGAGATAATATAAACTTTCACGTAGTAGTTTTTCTCCGTAGTTACAGACAAGTTCATTCCCTCTCATCACTGTACCTCTCACATGCTTTGTGGATGTTATTTACTGTGGTTCAACAATCCAAGTTAGTGAAAGACAGTTGAAACCCATCTCGTACAGATAAGAAGCTGATGGAGTTGATAGAACCATGCAATACGAGGATCGAGAAGGTCAATGACTTCCTCATGGATGTTGATCTCAGTGTCGATTATCGCATCGTCCCCATCTATGATCCTGCCGGGCCTACAAGATATGACGAGACCATGGATGTGAGATTCCATTCTTTTGAGTCATTTGTCTGGCTTATGCAAGGAAAAAGTCATTGGAAGCAAGAATGCAAACAGAAAGTTCAAAAGGGAGGCAATGTGATTGGGATCCAACCAGATTGGGGTACTAGGGATTGAGGGGAGTTAGCATGGAGGATAGAGAGGAGATTAATTAAGGAAAGTGCAACAGGGCTCATCCTTAATCTCTTTTCTCTTTCATTTATACTTCTTCTCTTTAATTTCATTTGCACACTCTTCCTGTGGCTGCAATTCTATGTCCATGCCATTCTAATTCTGACACTACAGGTCACCCCAGAGCATCATTTACCTTCTTTCTTTATGGATGTTGCCAGTAACCTGGAGAAGCAAGACACACACCATATCATGATGCCATGATAGTATCAAAAGTGCAAGTGTCAATCAAAACTTTTCAATGTAAATTGTGCTCTTAACCCTTTCATGGCTGAATTAAGGAAACGTATAACTAGGAAATTTTTTCACCACTTCTTCTATTGAACAGGCCTAGCTATAGATGGAGCTTGCAGAAAATTTAAAATATTTACTCATGTATTCTAAAATGGAATTTTTTACTTACATAAATCATTAACCAAAAATATTGAGTAACAGGCCATTGTTCACACATGGAGAGCCCCTTAAACTTGGCCTTTGTCCCAATTTTATCCATTCATTCTTGTAGCATGTGGGCATATTTTTCCCTTTTCCCAAAAAAAAAGAAAAAAAAATTATATTTTTTCTTTCAAAATTCCTTTTCACAAAAAATCAAACATATCTGGTCACAACATTTCTTTTTGATCCAGCTTGCCTGAACTACAACCTATTTGAATGAATGATGCATCACCGAAAGGCCCTTTTCGAGAGCTATTAAGCAGTACCATATAAAACAGGTTTTGTTCAATGGTAACTGCAAGAGCAGTCTCAAAAGATATGATCCTTATAATGATCATACACCATGAAAGGGTTAAACATAGGTACTTCCCTGCATATGCCATTTTCTCAAAGATTTGGAGCATCATATTGACAGTTTCTTTTCAGAATTAAATACTATTTGGATTGTGAATGTTTGAGGCTCCTTCTGCAGTGCCTGGTGGTAAGCGAGGAGACTCTGCGAGGTGGGGAGAAGTTGAACGTCATGAGAAGGGAAGCAGGTCTGTCAGAGATGGCCCTCCATGTGGTGACTCTTGTCCCAGAGACCCAGCAGCAGAGTGCAGAGGAGGAGGAGAAGATAAGCAGCTCCTCCATCCGCATGCGGCTCCTTGGAACTCCCCTCCGTCCTTCTAAGGTATGTTGACCCAGGGGTCATGTGAACAGTTTTGGTCTTTGAGACCAATGACACATTTCCATGAAAGATCACTGATGTCATGAACTTGATGTAGCCTCGGTTCCTTGTTGAGTGATAAGGAATTAAAGGGGTTATCTGTCTCCCCAGTCTTGTTGGTGGAAGATGTGGTCACTCATTTTCTTCTAAATAAAAGAAAAACTATGTTTTCAAGGTCAAGGAAAGAGTTTGATGGGCCAAATTGATGAACCCTTGGTTTCCATTTTCAGTTCTGATGATATGATGCACTTCTGTAATTCATCAGTCATACAAACAAATTCCTGAAGTTCTAACTGTCTTAAGATTTACATTCTACTTTTCTAACAAAGACACAGTTAACATTTGAATGTTTTATCATCATGGCTTTTAATAAGAGACTGCAATTTATGATGTGGGCATTCCTGATGTGACTCATATTGCTATGGTGATGGTGAGATCCATAATGAATAATGAGATGGGTTGACTTGTCCATGTCTCCTTGGAGTTGGTGCCCAAAGGATCATATCCTTTGGGAGAGGAGTCATCACTCACAATCTTGAGGCCCACAATAATAACAAATTTATTGTAGTCCGAAATTTGAAAACAGTCTTTTACAGGTCTTCCCAATTAATGGCTCACTATCAGAGTTGGGTAATAATATGTTACTGTACCATATTACCCATTCATGAAATTAGAAATGGTAATCATTCCATCTTTTCAGAAACAGCATGTTTCTTTTTGTTTGCAAGTGGTCATCATTGCAAGTGAAAAATGAAGGGAAAAGATCTCTATTTTTGTGTGTTCCAGCTGTATATGTCCTCTTTCAGTCTGGATTGATGGTGATAGTGAGCATGTCATTGATTAAAAAAGGAACTAGTAATGGTAACCATTTCATTTTCTGCCTAAGTAACCATTGTTAAGGTGACTTCCTGAAAAAAGAACTCTAACAGTAAATAGTTCATTTTTAAGAGTAAAATGCTCACTGTGCAGTTTTTGGCCATTCCGGTCTGCAGCAATAAGTGAATCATTTCACTGTCCTTGCTCTCAAATTATTCTGCCATCAGTTATGAACAAGTTGGAGTTGAAGCCTTAACCAGAAAGGTATGCTGCAGAAACCCCTTCCCTCTATCCAAATGATTTCTCAAAGTTATCATCTTCAAACCATGAGAATTTCTTTTAATTTAAAAAAATGAATTTTTTCTGTTCAAAAGTTTTTCTGTTTTTCTGCTTTCCCAAAAAGTCACTTCTCCAGAGATGCCCCATTTAAACTTGAGCGCAAAGAATTTTTCAACTTCTTGTTTTGCAGCCAAAGCCAAATCTTCCCAAGAGGCCTCTCGTCATCGGACTGACGGGAGGGATCTGCAGCGGCAAGACCAACATCTGCAGGAAGTTGGAGGATCTCGGAGCAGGGATCGTGGACTGCGATGCCCTGGGACACCGGGCTTATGCCAAACAGACCTCGGCATATCACAAAGTCCTAGATGCGTTCGGAAGGGACATCCTGGATGGAGATGGGAACATCGATCGCAAGAAACTCGGTGCCAAGGTTTTTGGGAACAAGGTGTGGTGTTTTGGTTCCTCTCTCACTTTCTTGCAGCCCCAAGAGTAGGTGTGAAATGCTGATAACCTCCATAATTCTGGAGGGATCATGGCACTATTGTAAATTTCTGCCCTCGTGTACATCA